TTCAACCTACTGTCACCATTTCACTGCAACTCTTAGCAGTGATACACACGAACAGTCGTCGGCTATACCACGTACGGCGATTGTTTCCAAACTTTCCCTACTGGCGCCCTACTGGGAGAAAAATGGAAAACAATCGTTGTACGCGATGAAGTGGATGTTTAATGAAATGATCTCATTGTTAAATTGGAGCTTCAAAGTTTTTGAAAAAACTGTTCTCTAGTAATACTGATTTCACTTTCAACCGAATGCCCTCCATGACTTGTCCGTGAAGCATACCTGCCACGCATCGCACTGTGCCGACAGCAGAACAAGCCACACTAAAAAGTCCAGGTATCCTGCGTGGCTTACACCACATACCATTGACTCTTTGGTATTCGAAAGAAAACGGTTTACCGAAAGCAAAGAGAGTCGACGAAAAGAGCTTTTACTACGAGTAAGCGAGCGGTGTATGTGACCACAAACGAAACTTTAAAGATGCGTTATGAATGGGAAAATGGCAGCAGGGAGAATAGAGACGACTCTTATGATTGGCGTTACCCAACTGGATTTGACTTAGCCCACGATCGAAACCGGAAACATTGACTAGAATATTTTACCCACACAGATGGTGCTGTTGAACACCTTTGCTTGCTGTTCAGTATTATTCAGTGAGTACACGATTATTGTTGTACCGGGATTCGACACAGGGTGTGCGTGGGGCAACATCAACGCTGCCAAACTTATCTTGCCGGCCTTCTGCAGGTTTCTGCTTCGGAACCAAGGCAGCTCAGAGGTGATGAAGCGTCACGCGTAAGGGTCATGGACACGAGAGAGAGGATGCCAAGGAAGGATGGTACGCACATTCTACATCCCAACAGCACAAAAATAGACCGAACTATAAATGAACATGACGGATATGACCTGCGCGGAGAATCTCCGTAGAAAAATACTCTGCTAAGCCAGTGGCCAGTGGAAACTTTAAACTGTCACCAAGCACGTACGATATCCGAATGTGTCGCTCACTCTCATAAGTATGCGTCCTCGTCTTCTGCTGGCTTGAGCAGTTTCTACGCAAATTTTCGAATGAAAACCAAATGAAATGTTAGCATGAGAAGCTCTATATGTTACAACCTGCTCTACGACATGAGGTACGGATTCCAGGGCAATTACTTGTACTGTGAAGTAAAGTGTAGGAAGTGCATCGAGTCGACAACGCACTGGTGATTTGTGTAGTACACCGTATTCAATACTGAGGGTTCCGCACATTTCCTTTGAAGCCCCCCCCCCCGCCTGCCATTCTGTTTCTATTGTTTTCTTATGCACTAAGCATATGGGGGGCTATTGATACGCTCATTGAGTCTCCATTGCAACCCGAAAAAAAGTGTAATTTCCAAATTTCTTCTACTGCAGTGGATGCTTAGGAAACGAGCTACTAAAGGCTGTATGCAGAATAGCTGCACTAGTCTGGCTGCAACGAACAGTCTATTTCGCAGCACTGTATCTACACGGTCACGTTTTTCGTACTTTTCGGGTTACAGATAGTCCCAACCCCTTACTGGTCGCAGCGCATAGCTCTTTCGTTTGCCTGCTCATCTTGTATTGTAATCTCAGGGCCTACTAGTGAAGAATTCAAGAGCGAACCAGTGTCTGCTCCAGCGCCGGGTGAGCTGGGTAATCCACCCGGTTGGGCGGCGCTTGGACCCGGTTGAAAATATAGCACCAGGTCACCTGCGACCCGGTTGGTACTTTACACTTACGAACTCCGAAAGGACTGACTACATGGCTTGTATTATTATTATTATATTATTATTTTATAATAGCTATAAAGAGAACAAATTCTGCTGTCATCGCCACACTACAACAAAGTCATGAAGGTTTACCAAAATCGATTTTCTTGTCACAATCATCAGTGGAAAGCCGTGACTGAAGAATAACCATGCCAAATCAATAATTTATATACATTCAATAATGTGTTACGAGAACAAAACAAAGTGCTAAAAATAGAATGAGGGAAGGTGAGACAAAGACCTAGACGATCAACGGCTAATTATTCAATGAATTATTACAGTACTGGATGTCAAGCACCGGCGAAGACACTGGGAACAGAAGATTTAGCAACAACAGGAACAACAACAATGACAACAACAACAATGGTAACAAATTACCATCAAGATCAAAGGAGGAGTCAACGAACAGAGGTTCAGCAACGTGAAGCGAGCCTGGGACCGATCGGTGGTGATGAGGAGAATGACACGGAGGACGACACTGAGGACGAGTTGGAAGATGAGACGGGGGACGAGGTTGCGGTTGGTGGAGACGAGGAATCGGATGGTGATTGTGATCGTAAGAAGTCTGCCGTTTTTCTTCATCTGATGTCTCACCCTAAGTGTCTGCAGGTGTATGATGATTTTAGTTTTTCTGTTCTTTGTCGTGCACGGTACGCTAGTCAGTTGAAAGTACTTGAGGCTGTTTGTATTCGTTTGCATAAGCCTGATCTTTGTAAGCAGAAGAAACATGTAGTTGCGTTAAGATTGTTTTCGTAGGTGCACAGCATGATTGTTTGTCTCACTACACAGTTCTAGCGTTGTAATTAGTTCCTCACCCCTGTTGCACTTAGCTCTCACTTTACTTCTATTGTCTCACCTTCCCTCATTCTATTTTTAGCACTTTGTTTTGTTCTCGTAACACATTATTGAATGTATATAAATTATTGATTTGGCATGGTTATTCTTCAGTCACGGCTTTCCACTGATGATTGTGACAAGAAAATCGATTTTGGTAAACCTTCATGACTTTGTTGTAGTGTGGCGATGACAGCAGAATTTGTTCTCTTTATAGCTATTATAAAATTGTTGTCTCCGCGTCGATTATTTACATATTATTATTTATTCTTCTTTTACTAGGGAATTCCCAACAGGCGTCGGCGCCTTTTTACAGGGAACCCTAGGTATAATTTGATGGATGAGCGAAATTCAGCTGGTGAACTAGACATGCGGCAAGCCGGTGGAAGTGTATTCCACCTGGCAGCGCCCAAATAAGAAATTGCACTAAAGCCATATCGGGTGTTAGCGGGGGGCAGAACAAGAGCAGCAGAGACTTGGCCACGGGTGGTGGCTGCAGTGCGAGCACCATGGGCGCGCAAGGTAAAGCGGTCTCGCAGAAGAGGACTAGCAAGTCCATTCAGGCAGCGGTAAACAAATACATAGGTTTTGAAGTTGAGGCGTTTCTCAAGGGCGTACAAGTTAGTATGACTGTATAGAAGAGTGGTGGGAGTCATTCTATCCAACGAAAATATTCTCTTTAATGCTACGCGGCTGGCAGTAAGAAGCTTGTCATATAGGGTTTGTGATAAGCAATGAATATATGCAGTGCTGCCAAACTCAAATGTGGACTGAATGATCGATAAATAGAACAGTCGTTTGCCAAAAATGCTGATATTCTGCTTTGCATGGACAAATGCTCCGACCTTCCTATTGACAGTTGCACATACTGCATCCACTTGGGTTGAGAAAGACAGATGTTCGTCAACCAGTATTCCTAAGTACCGAGCGTAAGCAGATGGGGCTATGAAAGTGCCCCGGCAGTTGACTGCGGTGCCAGGTGGCAGCTCCTTGCCCGGTCGCCTGAGCAGGACAAACTGAGTCTTGGACGGGTTTAACACCAGTCCCTTCTGATCTAGGTAGCGATCCAGAGCGGCAAGGTCAGCACTCAGCTGGGTTGTGATGATCTGGATGGACTTGTGCCTGATATAGAGTGTGATATCATCGGCATAAAGTTGATTCAGTATGTGTCAGATAATTCTTCTTCTTTCGTAATTTTCTAATTCCTGTCCTCTCTTTTCTAAATGCAGCTTATCCATTCGCCTATTTGTCATTGAGCCTAGTTCCCATTTATTGTCCGAATTAAAATAAACCAACCAACCAGTTAAAGCATGTGACGTGGCTGGTGAGACAGCGCCAGGTACCTATCCAAATAATAAATTCTACTCCTACCACTACTACCGGTACTACTACATGTGAACCCGGCTCCGACCCGGTTGTAATGGTTGCGCCAGGTACAGGTGTACCCAGCTGTCCTACAATCCTAGAGCAGACACTGCGAACGGCGATGTTTATGGAAATATGTACCTGTCAGTATCTTGAAACTCGGGTATTGAGCCAATAATAAAAGTAGAAAGGAAAAGGACAAATGGAAACGAGTTAGGAGTAACTCTCCACCACTGTTTTCGTTGCGCTTGCCTTCCCCTCTTTGGTCTTTCCATAACCTTGAACCTTCCAAGTTGGAAGGCTGTCGGTTAGCGCTACGGAGATGTGTTGAAGCTAGGTGTCAGGACGTCGAATGTCTCAGTACTCTGTCAGTTTTGTGCCTAGTTGTTGCACTTTCTGACTGTATAATAGTATCTAGTTACAGTGGTGGAGAGTTACTATTAACTGGTTTCCACATGTCCTCTTCCTTTCTACTGTCAGTATCTGTTATTAATTTACAATAAAAAATGAGGAACAAGGAACTACAGGTTACGCTATACCGGTAATGTCCACTAACACTACCAGTTACGTCATGCGATAACATTGCACGACACTGACCAATGGTACTGACATTCTACCACTAACTGGCAATCAGCTGTAGCAAAAAGTGGATGCGCACTCCAATAGACATCCAGCTTGGAAGGTTATCAGTAAGAAATAACATGGAAGAGGAAGGTGAGCGCAACCAAGACAAACACAAGCCGAAAGTCTCAGCTGTGAAGGACATTGCCGGATTGACATGTATTGTATTTTACCGGTTGTAAGTCGACCCCGGTTATAAGTCGACCCCGTATCTGGAGGTCTCAATTCTGCATTTTAGAGTTTTCACCCATCGAAGCATTACTAACCACTCCCTGCCACTAACACATCAACAAATCAGGTAAACACTCCTTATTGGAGGGTATACCGTCCCAATCCTTTAAAAAATGCCATTAACCCCTGCACCCGTCAACATGCAAGCACCTCCAAGTGCACCCGCACGCCCAGCTTGGGCACTCGTGCACTCATGCAGACAGACACAAGCGCACACATGCACGCACACGCCACTGGTGTACCCATGCTCTGACACGCAGACACCCGCACAACGTACAGCTCACTATGGCGTGCACAAACATACAATAGACACATTGGGTTGGGGGTTGCCATGATTTCTTTCGGACAATTCAAATATTCAAGAATATGCTCTTTGATAATAATTGATTGAGTAAAGATGCATGCCTGAAACTAGCATCCGCCCGCCAAGGGCGCCCAAATGGCCATCGCGGCCCGCCGCGGGCTAAACTAGCATACTGCCCACCGAGGGCGATCGAATGGCTTAACTAGCCTACTGCCCACTGCCCACCGAGGGCGCGCAAATGGCCGCCGAGGCCAGCAAACTTTACCTGATGTATATTTAGTGTATCTCCGTATGTAAGCGTACGGCATCTGTTGCATAAAAGCTGCTGCTGCTGATTTCAAGGGATTTATAGCAACGACAAAAGCGAGAAGAAGAAGAAGTATTCAACCTCCAGGTGTGCACCGGAGAGAAAATCCTATTTATTTGCCGGCTCTTCTTCAAGGGATTTATAGCAACGACAAAAAACGAGAAGAAGAAGTATTCAACCTCCAGGTGTGCACTGGAGAGAAAATTCTATTTATTTGCCGGCTCTTCTTTTACTAATAATTATATCCCAGGTGTGTACCTGAGAGAAGAAGAATAAAAATTAACTATTGTTGAAAAAAAATGAAAAAAAAGTAACCTGTCACAGTGGTGGGATTCGAACCCACGCCTCCGGAGAGACTGGACGTTTTATAGCCATGTACTGGGCTACACGGCGGCGGGTTTCGCCCGACCACTAGTGATAGCGTACACTGAAAGCAGAACTATACTATTGGTCCTTATGTATGCAGGTGCCAAATGACACCGTTGGGCTGTTCTAGAAGTACTGAAAGTGCTGGCCGTTCTAGGGCTATGTGAAGGAATTGAATGTGCTGAGTGTGAAGTATGGTGCAGGGTTGATTCGTGAGACAGCTCATCAATAAGTAAAGTGTGTGATGTTGTGCTAGTTACACGTGTACAATGTTCTGTAATAGCATTTCAGATTATTATTATTATTGTAGCCTGTCAGATACGTAGTGGGAGCAGCAATGGTGAGAGAGGGCAGGAAATATATTCACCGTGCACCATGTTACACATGAACCTTACATCCTTCTTGTTACTCCGATACCTGTAAACCTTCAAGCTCATAAAATATCTGCTGAAACGAGGGCCGAGTACGTGGTTCGTCGCTCATGCATTTCTCAGCCAGGTGACGGTACGGGTAGGGAGTGGTGGGAGGAAAGACTGGCGTGTTTCCATCCATGATCTCTTGATGGATGTCCTCCGGGAACTTCAAATGTGCGTAGGGAAGTTGACGAGTAGATATCTCCCACAGAACTACGCCATAACTATAAAAGAAAGAGACCATACGAAAACCCAGCACACGAACATGCAAACACACACACACACACACACACACACACACACACACACACACACACACACACACACACACACACACACACAAACACGCATACACACATAGGGGAACAACGACACACAAATCCTCGACCACTGTTCTGGTGTTCCAGAAATATGGAGTATTGGAGTATTTTTAATGGAAAAGGTTCATCAGACGTTTTACGTTCTCCAGAGTAACGACAAAATAGGCACTCGATTTTCCTGGCAATACTTACTCTGCAATGCCCAATAATATTACTTGTATATTATAGTACACACACTCTTCAGCCTCTAGAATCGGCCACACCCTCGTGCAGAAGACATGTAAGTATATACAGGAGAACTCGAACTCGGTACAAATCAGTACGCTATTCTTAATAGGCAGGCATAGGGGGATGGTCTAAGATAATGATTGAGAAACAGAGGGTACCAGGTCTAAATCCTGCTTGGAAGCGGAAGGATTTTTTTCCAGTTGTGCTGTGACCCACAATTAATTAGAAACTGGTGACCTGGCACGAGGGAAACATGGATGCAGTGAATGGGATTTTTGGGGTTTGATTACATTGTGGTGGGTCTGATCTACTCACCTCCCACCGCTTAGGAGCTGCATCTGCGCCTTGACCCAAGAGGGTGGTGGAGTTCCTGCGGATGTGGAAAACTCTCCCTTTGGCCGAGACTCACGCGAACCGTGAAATGATTAATTTTTTTCTCGTGGGTCTGGCGATTTTTTCTCTTTTCAGGCAGTTCACTTCCCCAACTGATCCTTTTATGTTTATATTCTAAAATAACCTGCTTGAAGACGAAAAACTCATCACGGAAATGAATCCAACAGACTTCGAGCTCTTCACCACAAATCATCAAAAACCAGGACTCAGAAATCCACGAACAAACGTCGCGTCCTCTTCAGCTCACATACAAGCAACCTGCAGAACCAGTTTTAATGTATCTCCTAAAAACTATGCTAGTACCTTTTAATATTCACAGGTTTGAGGGAAAGACATAAACAGGTACACAAACGGGAGAAGTGTGAAGAAAAGTGGACCGTCACCACCAGGATTCGAACTAGGGACCCTCGCTTGCAGCCAGCAATGTTCTAACCACTGAGCACAGGTGACCTTTTAATAAATTTAGAAAGAAACGGATGTTACAAAAATAATATTTCTTATTGCTGTTTGTGCTGGGCATAAACTATCGATAACATGTAACAATTTGGTTATTTCTTTTAAAGTTAAATCCTTGGCTATCCACCCGAATGCTACCTTTTTATACCTTCTTCTGTAATAATACAATTAGGTAAAACGGAATTAGTTTGGATGTGTTCGTTGAGTTCAAGCACCGCTTGGTAATTGGATTGGACAAACATAATCTAAGATCACATCAACTTACCTATACACATCTGATTTTTCCGTGTAACTGTTCTCAGACAGTGTCTCTGGAGCTCTCCATCTGTCAGTTCCAACACGGCACGTCATTCCAACTCGTGATGGCAGCTGTGAGGCCGTGAAACAGTGATGTAGAGTACTGTCTGAGTCTTCTGTCCTCATTGTATCCTGACAATGATGATCATTACGAGATTGCGATTGTCTCTCATTGCGCGGAAGTGGACAGGCCGTATCACTATCCCTTTGGTGTATTGTAAGATGTGAAAGGTTCTGGGATTCAGAATCCCTAGATTGAATCAGTGCCTCTTTTTCGCTGTTGCCTGCTGATGCATGATCGTGAAGAACGCTTTCTGCCTGAGCGTTGGGTTGGCCACCGGTAGTGGATTGCTGCCCTGATTGCGAACGATCTTCGCTTTCCATAAGGTTAAGATATCTGGTGAATTCCAAGTCTCCGATTTTCACCACCCACTTGTTACTGACGAAGAGGTTTGGACTCTTTAGATCACGGTGAATCTGTGGAGGATTAGAGCTATGCAGATATCGCATACCACGAGCGATGTCCAGAGCAAACCGGAGCATATCCTCTTGTTCCAGTTGGACACGTGGATTATGCAGATTATCGTAGAGGGAACCTCGTCGCAAGTACTCCATAACCAAGAATGGGCACTTGTCCGCTGTGTCCTGCCCTGCTCCAATAAAGAGGACAATATTAGGGTGGCATACAGATCGCAGTGTCTCAGCCTCCTCCAAGAAGGTGTCAAAAGGCGATGTACGCCATCGCGTTCGATTGAAGCACTTGGGAAGTTTCTTGACTACAACATCTATGTCACTGAGCTTTGCAACATACACCTTGCTGTAGGTCCCCGATGCCAGTCGTTTGTTGATTTTTAAGTCCCTCCATTGAATTCGCGCTCCCCGATTCAGTTCTGCAAGTTTCCTCAGGGACCTTTGGAGACGAATATGTTGAAGTTGCAACTCTCTTTCCGTAATCCTCAAGTCGCGACGCTTTCGAATGAACTTCACGAAGAACGCAATGCACAAAGAAAGTACGAAGAAAAATATAACCGCCGCCATCTGAGAAAGGTAGACGGTCGGTGTGCGGCAGTTGTCGGCAGGCAGGTATCCAAACTTGCAGTTGCAATACTTCTTGTCATCTCTATCCAGCTTGCATGTACCGTGGCCATTGCAGTAGCTGTCCATACATATAGTATCGCATTTCCAGGCTCCAATACCTTGTGTCGTTAAATCACCAGGACATCTCGTACAGTTCACAACAATACTTGATGAGTAGTACCCTATAGGACAGGGCTCACAGGAACGGTGTTCCGAGTATCCATAGCCCAATGGACAATTTTCCAACCTGTTCAATGTCAGAAAGGTTAAGCTTTGTCTTGCCTGAATTTGATCAAAGGGATCGTATTCACGCCCACCTGAGAAGACAAAGTCATCGATCACATGTTGGCCAAAGATGGTGAAGTTGAAAAAGTGTAAAACCTCAACTGTGGTTTTCGCTTCCTGGCCACGGAATTGAAAAAGGAATGCATCATTCGTGGGTCGCAGACGTTTTGAAACCGTTCCGTAAGCAAAAAAACCGCCTAGTAGTAAAAATGAATTGTTCAAGTAGGAAGACAAAGAATGGAAGAACCGCAAGGGAATTTGTTGCGACAAAGGAATCTTGCGGAGATGAATGAAAGAAAGGCTCTTAATCGACATCACCAACACGTGATCAGTCATTGCCAACCTATCTCCAACGTCACGTGTGCGGTTGATGCTTCTTGGACTTTCTTCATATCCTACGTTTTGGCCACCAAACAGAATGATGTCATCACCATACGTAGTTGCTGAATGACCGTACTGACGCGGCAATTTCTCACCGAAAACATTATCAGTCAGTTGGGTCCAAGCACCCGAGCATGACTGCTCACCCGTCATCTGAAGTATCCAAAAGTCGTTGTGAACATGTGTCTGGTTTTTCCCACCCTGTATCACCAGATGTGTGCTCTTGTGTCTCCATGCCACATGGTCTTCTCGCGGCATTGGTTTGGGCTGGGATTGATGTGTTGTAAGGCGTCGCCAGTAGACTGTGGAATCTCGAGCTTGGCTATCAACCTGGATATACAAACACCAAGTAGAACTAAGGTACTCGTAGCTTTTGTGTATTCTCTGTGAACCTCCAAAGAGAATTCCCATGAATGGCTGTACGGATGTGAATGTGCAACCCCATCGATTATAGAGCAAAGGCGATGGTGAGGGATACTTGGCGATCACTGTTGATTTTCCTAATCGGTCGTATAAAAGGTGCCAAACAACAATGGGGGATGGTCTCTGCGAAGGAGTAAAGTGAATATCATAACGGGATGTTGTTCTTTCTGGACAGTTCGAACCAATGAAAATGTATATTGAAATGTTTTGGGAAAGGGGTAAGGACAGAGGACGTGCTGTACTGCACCCCTGGAAACCTGAAAAATAACTTCGAACATCAATATATGGCTTCGGCGTAATCGATAGCTGAGACGTGTTCGGTTGACAATTGACGCACTGATGCAAGGTGAAACTTGTCGTGCTTCTTATTCTTTGAAACACGATGTGGAATTCGTCGGTCTGGTCGGACCACAATGAAAACCAAGGGATGTCGTGCGGATAGTTCTCGATATATATGTCTGTAAGTTTCCCTTTAGCTTCGCAGTGAACTGGGTCATTGTCTTGGGTTGGCAGTGCGCATATGTACAGGATAAACGGACCATGCGGAACAGAGTATGCCACAATCAGTGATCTGAAGGCGCTGAAATAAGCAGCCTGTAAGGTATTGAAAAACTCCCTCATCATACTCCTATCGCCCGCAGTAGAGTAGGTAGATGGAAAATTGGATTTCAGTTCGATCCATGTGCCTTGTTCAATATTGAAGATCCAGAAATCGTTCAACATTCGTACCTTGATTATTTGAGAAGATCCATGTGCTTCCACTCCACCGAACAGCAATAACTGGGAATCACTTATAGATATTAGAGTTGGGCTTGCTCGGGGGCTTGGAGAGCTAGTACCGTTATTTGCTAACTGATGCTCCGATTTTATCCACTTTACTGGTACCGATGGGTCTGATATGTCGATTGTGACCTGGAAGATATCCGTGGAGAAGCGAACACATTCACTGTCGCTGAAGGTATTACAATGTGATCCTCCGTATGATATGAGTGTGAACATGGACGAAGATGTATTGGTCGGGATAGTAACAAAACCAGGTGAGAATGCCCATGGAACGTTCTCGCCAGTTGTGGAGAGTACACTGGTGATGGTTGTAATACCATTGTAAAGAACGATGAACTTGGAGCATTGACCCGCCCCAAAACCATAGAAGACTAAGATTCGCCGATCCGGTGATGTTGTCACACTGGGCTGAATCGTCTGCTGACAAAGACATCTAGGGTGGCCACCTGGTAAAGTAGCCAAAAACGTTTTGAAATTCCAGCTCTGCAATGTAGTTTCGGTTGAAAAGTAAGAACCAAATATGGTACAGAGTGAAACGTTGTCGGTATCCAAAACAAATTCCACAACACGTTCCAGGGGCTCGTTGTGGACGTTATCCTTGATAAGTACAGTGGTTCGCGGACTGAAAGCTAGTCTCAGTGGAACGTCGCCATAAGGATAGGACGGATAGATCCTACTGCTAAGGCTTTCACTGGCATCTGCAGTAAGTGATTCAAGGGGTTCAGGTAGTGGGACAAAGTCTAGTTCGATAGAGGTCACCGCTACCCAAGACGCCAGCGAAATGCAGATGATTGTTATCCGTCCGTCCATACCTGAATCCGCCTTCTCTCTTTCCAAGCTGGTTTCACGTTCAGAAGTGCAGATCCACCGTGAATGTAGAGCATAGAATAATATGCTCCTCAGTTCCACAGCTTGAGAAGGAGATTCTCTTACGATTGGCACGACTGAAGCAATAGGGAACCAGAATTGACTGGTCCTTTTGTGAAAACTTATGATATGTGCTGAGAAGATTGGAGACTCGCTAGAACACTATTGCAGGACTCTTAGCTGGCTTTGACCCTAGAATACAAGGAAAACAGAGCAGAAAATCCTTATCGCTGTTGCTGTGCGAACCAGCTCCTCGTCTCGTACACTCATTGAAATGCTGCATGCTGTGTATTTCACGGTACGTTCAAATTTGATAGATTAGACCTACTAGACTGCGATAGAGATTTCGTGGAACAGGCGGCGAAGCCTGAATCCACGCCATCTGTTCTCGTCTGGCGCTTATTTCAGACTGTTGACAATAATAAAATGACCCCAGTTCTGTGGTACGTGTTCAGTACAGTATTTCTCCTGAAAACGAATAGATTGTAATCAACAAACGCCAGGAGTAACAGATGGAGGTCGCCTGGCACCATCTGTTGTCGTTATAGACGCGACGGGAGGCGATTTACACGACGGCAGTGCATCCCGCTGGAAAGAGAAGGCCCCGAGAGCTTGCCGTGATACGGGAAAAAGGAAAATCGATTCATATGACACACGTACAGTACGTCAGTACAACACCGTCCACGGAATGCAGCGGTATGCATGCGTGAAACATTTCACCATCGGTCAGCCAACACTGATCCTGATGCCTGGCCCGACCTGCGGGTTAAGGGATTCTGGGCCGATAGCCGCAATGCACTGTTCCATACAAGGGTGTTTTATCCCCACGCGTCTAGCTATCGGTCCAAGTCCTGAACGGCCAATGTAGTACAGCGCTTTCAAAGCAGCTGACGCCCGCAGCCACGGCCACAACTCGACATCAAGCCAACACCAGGCTCATTCTGCCGCTGGCCAGGACGAATATGCGCTCGCCGACCGTTCTTCCGTGGACCTGCGCTGAACACTCTGCCAGCCAGTGTTCGTTCCTGCAAAGCCGTGGCCGATTTCGCAGCAGCCGTGCACCCGTACACTCTCAGGCCATACACGTTTTTAGAGAAGAGAAACAGTGATATGCACACACACACACATACACACACACACTCACTTGTACTGTACTGTACTTGTTGCTCACTGCCAAAACTGGTCACGTGAGTCCCACCGGGAGAGGGGAGAGAGACTCAAAAGGAATCTTGGAAAGATGACTCAATTGGTTATTGAACCGCCCAACGGCCGACACCACCTGAAATCCCTAAAACTCTGGGTGGACTTGAAAATGATTCCACTTATGGGCTCACCACACCTCAGTAAGTGGGTGATGACAAGGTGCAGAGAAAGGATTGACGGCATCAGGTATCCGTCCCGTGATCCAACTGCAGTTACCCTGCAGTCACACACACACACACACACACACACACACACACACACACACACACACACACACACACACACACACACACACACACACACACACACACACACACACACACACACACACACACACGCACGCACAAGGACAGTATGTATAGGTATTTTAACGAACGATCTTTTCCTGTTAGCTCTGCTTGTCCAGTACATGAGATACAACGTCTTTCTTGTTGTTTTTCCTTCTACATGTAGCTGCTTGCAGCATGGAAAACGACAGTACCATGGCCTTTTCAGATTTTCATTGTACCTATTTGTAGTACCTCCCGGGATCAGTATTTCCACTTGAAATAATATTCACCGAAATGCCTCATTCTTAGCATTCCTTTATTCGCTTCCATGTAATTGGGCGTATTGCCCGTTTGGGTTTGCGAATTCAAATAACATAAAACAACAACACCAACAACAACAAGTCCCTCCCCTGCCTCTGCCCAAGGTTTGAAGGCGAGAAGAAGCGTGCTTACGGTGAACGTGTCAATGAAGTCGAGCATGGCTCCTTCACACCGTTAGTCTTCTCCTCCTGTAGTGGGATGGGCTCGGAAGCAGCCGTGGTAGTCAAGAGGCTGGTGCACGGCTTGGCCACCAAACGCAACGCTGCCTATAGCCGGGTTGTAGCTTGGATGCGGTGCTGCTTGGTATTTACTCTTGCCAGGTTTGCGATCCATTGCGTCCGCGGATCACGCTCTGGTCGCCGTCGTCACTTCGACCTCGCGCCTGTCGACCTCGTCCAGGCTGAAGCGAGTGTGGCTCGACATTAGACAGCCATTTACCTCCATTCTACCTGTTGTATAAGTACTTTCCGGCGTGTACTTACCGCCATATTGCCAGGTGCGTGTTTATCACCTTAGTTATGGATAAAATACTCAGGACGGCATGCATCCCCCCCCCCCCCTCCCGGCTCCCGGCTCCCGGCTCCCTCATGGCACCGGAAACATACTAGGATAAGCGGCGAGACACGTTCACGCCAAAATATGAGCATATGAGGTATGTATAATATTACCTGAAGCCGAGTGAATTTGGACGAATATTCACTAGCATACAAACCGAGGCGAAGCCGAGGCTTGTACATGTATAACTAATGAATATTCGCCCATATTCACGAGGCTGAAGGTAATGTTAGACTTATACCTCTCCATATTCACCCTCTAGTCCCTAAAACCGAACAAACGAGTCCTGTTGGTCATGCATGCACATGTTCGCAGAACTAACGTAAGTCGTTGTTGCTTCAGTATAGTAAACCGACTGGCGTGTTCTTGCATGAATCGGAGGGTGGCGTGTTCAGAATCTTGTTCAATCGATCGTGTACACGTACTGGTGCATGTGGCATGGGAGGTGACGACCTTGGAGAACACGTTCGTGCCAATCACCATGGAGAACACGCTCGTGCAGCTTTGTGGCGGGCGCCACACGCGAAGATTTGACCAATCCGAGAGAGGTTTCGTTTCACGCTAAGATTTGACCAATCCGCGATCATCGCGCCAATTCGGGAGTCGGTTTATAAACAGCGAGCCAAGCGGTTCTACCCTCACTTCTTCTCTTTTCAGGCAGCGCTTCGGAGCTGTTGTGTGCCCTAGGAATATTCTACGCTAACATCCGTGAACAGGGCTGTTCTGAGTACAAACGAATTCCTGGCTTGCCGCTTGATCCGCAATTATCGGGCCATTGACATGTTGAGCCTCCAAAACCTTGTTTGCTCGCTGGAATGCTCCGTCTGTGAAGATGCTCACTGTTGGTTGATGGCTTGTCTGACATATCCAAACTCACATATCCAAACTCACCTATCCAAACTCACCTATCCAAACTCGCACATCCAAACTCACATATCCAAACTCACCTATCCAAACTCACATATCCAAACTCACATATCCAAACTCACCTATCCAAACTCAAATATCGAAACTCACATATCCAAACTCACAAAGCCGGCCACGACCGTCCAACCGCTCGCGGGTCCATTTTATGGAACACCCTGCCATCCGACGTGCGTGGTATTACCCAGTACCACCAGTTCAAACAAGCCTGCCTCCCGTTCTGTCTTGCTAGCAGTAGCACCCACTTCTGAACACTACAGGAATCTTTGAACGTTTGCGGTACTCCACAGTACCAGTCATGTGTTGTTTACCACCTCCCCGTTGTTGTATTCTAACGTTAACGTTATTCATTGACTGAGCGTTCTTTGCTTTGTACTACACCCTGCTATCGTGTTAGGCTATTTCCTACAATATTTTACTGTTTCCATTCGCTTCCATGTAATTGGGCGACACCGCCCGTTTGGTTCTGCGAATTCAAATAAAAATGTACCTACCTACCTACCTACATATCCAAACTCACATATCCAAACTCACATATCCAAACTCACATATCCAAACTCACATATCCAAACTCACATATCCAAACTCACATATCCAAACTCACATATCCAAACTCACATATCCAAACTCACATATCCAAACTCACCTATCCAAACTCACATATCCAAACTCACATATCCAAACTCACATATCCAAACCCACATATCCAAACTCACATATCCAAACTCAACTATCCAAACTCACATATCCAAACTCACATATCCAAACTCACATATCCAAACCCACATATCCAAACCCACATATCCAAACTCACCTACCCAAACCCACCTATCCAAACGAGTACAGTCTTTGAGTTGTAGACGTCCACCCACTACTGTACATGGACTCAAGTACTCGAATTACACGCTCGTGACTGATATCTACCTGCTGTCAGAATATGCTGCTTATCGCGTCTATAACGAAAACAGATGGAATCAGTTGACCTCCATCTGTTACTCGTGGCGTTTGTTGACTACAATCTTTTCGTTTTCAGGGCACGTACATGTACTGAACATGTACTGTAGAACTGGGGCCATTGCATTATTGTCAATGGTCTGAAACAAACACCAGAACAGAACATATGGCGTGGATTCAGGCTTTTCCACCTGTCCCGCGAAATCACCATCGCATTATGTCTAATCCAAGCGATCAAATTTGACCGTTCCGTACCCTGCAAAGCATGCAAGACACTTCAAGGAGCGTGAGAGACGGTCAGCTGGTTCGCACAACAACAGCGAGAAGAGTGTTCCCCTCTGTTCTCCTTGTATCCTAGGTGCAAAACTAGAGTCTTGCAATAGTGTTCTAGCAAGTCACCAATCTTCTCAGCACTTATCATTGTTCCTCTCTAAAGACCCGATGAGTTCTGCTTCATTATAGCTTCAGTCGTGCCAATCGTTAGACAATCCGCTTCCCTAGCCGGGGATTTGAAGACTACCTTAGTGCTCTTCAATCACGGTGCATCTTCATTTCTACCCGTGAAACCAGATTGGAAAGATAGATTCAGGTATGGACGCACGGATTACAAACTGTTTGCTTGGAATCTTCTGCATTTGGTTGACATCTTGGGTTGCTGTGATCTCGGGCGAAGTAGACGTTGTCTCGCTACCTGCACCCCTTTCAACACTAACTGCAGACGCCAGTGAAAGCCTTAGCAGTAGGATCTATATGTCCTATCCTTATGGCGACGTTCCACTGAGACTAGCTTTCAGTCCACGAACCACTGTACTTATCAAGGATAACGTCCACAACGAGCCCCTCGAACGTGTTGTGTTATTTGTTTTGGATACCGAAAATGTTTCACAATGTATAATAATGGGTTCTTACTTTTCAACCGAAACTACATTGCAGAGCTGGAATTTCAAAACGTTTTTGGCTACTTTACCAGGTGGGTACCCTAGATGTCTTTGCCAGCAGACGATTCAGCCCAGTGTGACAACATCACCAGATCGGCGAATCTTAGTCTTCTATGGTTTTGGGGCGGGTCAATGCTCCAAGTTCATCGTTCTTTACAATGGTATTACAACCATCACCAGTGTACTAACCACAACAGGCGAGGACGTTCCATGGGCATTATCACCTGGTCTTGTTACCATACCGATCAATACGTCATCGTCGATGTTCACACTCATATCATACGGAGGATCACATTGTAACAACTTCAGCGACAGTGAATGTGTTCGCTTCTCCACGGATATCTTCCAGATCACAATCGACATATCGGACACATCGGTACCAGCACAGTGGATAAAATCGGAGCATCAGAGAGAATATAACGGTACTAGCTCTCCTAGCCCCAGAGCAAACCCCGCTCTAATATCTATAAATGATTGCCAGTTATTGATGTTCGGTGGAGTGGAAGCACATGGATCTTCCCAACTCATCCAGATGCGAATGTTGAAAGATTTCTGGATTTTTAATATTGAACAAGGGAAATGGCTAGAACTGCCATCCAATTTTCCAACGATTTACTCTCCTGTGGGCGATATGAGGATGATGAGGGAGTTCTTTAATAACGTGCAGGTTGCTTATTTCAGCGCCTTCCGAACACTGATTGTGGCATACTCTGTTCCGCATGGTCCGTTTATCTTGTATCTGTGTGCAGTACCAACCCAAGACATTGACCGAGTTCACTGCGAAGCGAAAGGGAAACTTTCAGAATTGTTGATAGAGAACTATCCATACGACATCCCTTGGTTTTCATTGTTGTCTAGCCCAACCGACGAATTCCACATCGTGTTTCAAAGAATAAGAAGCACCAAAAGTTTTGCCTTGAAGCCATGCGCCCATTACAAACCCAACAGGTCCCAGCTATCGATTACGGGAAAGCCAGATGTTGATGTTCGAAGTCATTTTCCAGGCTTCCAGGGGTGCAGTTCAGCACGTCCTTTGTCTATACCCTTTTCCCAAAGTATTTCAATATACATTTTTATTGGTTCGAACTGTCCAGAGAGAAGAACAGCCAATTCTCATATTCGCTTTACTACTTGGCAGAGACCATCCCCTATTGTTGTTTGGCACCTTCTATACGACCGTTTCGGAAAATCAACAATAGTTGCCAAGCATCCTTCACCATCGCCTCTGCTTTATACTCGCTGGGGCTTCACATTCACATCCGTCCAGCCATTCATGGGAATTCTCTATGGGGGTTCACAGTTAATAAACAAAAGTTATCATTACCCTAGTTCTAATTGGTGTTTGTATATCCAGGTTGATAGTAAAGCTCGAGATTCCACAGTCCACTGGCGACGCCTTACGACACATCCATCCCAGCCCAAACCTATGCCGCGAGAAGACCATGTGGCATTCAGGCACAAGAGGGCACACTTCATGATACAAGGTGGAAATAACCGGACACAGGTTTACAGCGACTTATGGCTACTGCAGATGACAGATGAACAGTCGTGCTCGGGTACGTGGACCCAACTGACTGATAATGTTTTCGGCGAGAAACTGCCTCGTCAGTACGGTCATTCAGCCACTACGTATGGTGACGACATCATTCTGTTTGGTGGGAACTATGTATTCAGTGAAGAAAGTCCAAGAGGCATCAATAACACAAATGACATTGGAGATGGTTTGGCAATGACTGATCACGTGTTGTTGATGTCGATGAAAAACCTTTCTTTCATTCTTCTCCGCAAAATTCCTTTGTCACAGCCAGTTCCCATGCGCTTCTACCATTCTTTGTCTTCGTACATGAACAATTCATTTTTACTACTAGGCGGATTTTTTGCTGACAGACCGGGTTCATTGTCTCGTGGAGACACGAGCGCTGCATTTCTTTTTCAATTTCGTGAAGTCGGAGCGATCTCTACAGTTAGAGTTATACACTTTTTCAATTTCGGCATCTATGGCCAACATGTGATCGATGACCTTGTCTTCTCAGGTGGACTTGGTTACGCTCCCTTTGGTATATATCGGGCAAAACAAAGTTTATATTTTCTGACATTGAACAGTTTGGAAAATTGTCCTTTGGGCTATGGATACTCGGAACACCGTTCCTGTGAGCCCTGTCCTGTAGGGTACTACTCGTCAGCTATTGTTGTGAACTGTACGAGATGTCCTGGTGATTTGACGACGCAAGGTATTGGAGCCTGGAAATGCGATACCATATGTATGGACGGCTACTGCCATGGCCACGGTACATGCAAGCTGGATAGAGATGACAAGAAGTATTGCGACTGCAAGTTTGGATACCTGCCGTCCGACAACTGCCGAACACCCGTAGTCTACCTTTCTCAAATGGCAGCCGTTATATTTTCCTTCGTACTTTCTTTGTGCGTTGCGTTCCTCGTGAATTTCATTCGAAAGCGTCGCGACTTGATGAATACAGAAAAGGAGTTGCAAATCCAACATGTTCATCTCCAAAGGTCCCTGAGGAAACTTGCAGAACTGAACCGTGGAGCGAGAATGCAATGGAGGGACTTAATAATCAGCAAAAAACTAGCATCTGGGAATTACAGTAAGGTGTATCTGGCAAAGCTCAGTGACATGGATGTTGTAGTCAAGAAACTTCCCAAGTGTTTCAATCAAACGCGTTGGCGCGCATCGCCCTTTGACACCTTCTTAGAAGAGGCTGAGATACTGCGATCAATGTGCCACCCAAATATTGTACTCTTTCTTGGAGCAGGCCAGGACACAGCGGACAATTGCCCATTCTTGGTTATGGAGTACTTACGACGAGGTTCCCTCTACGACAATCTGCATGATCCAAAAGTCCAACTGGAACAAGAGGATATGCTTCGGTTTGCTCTTGACATCGCTCGTGGTATGCGATATCTGCATAGCTCTAATCCTCCACAGATTCACCGTGATCTAAAGAGTCCAAATCTATTGGTCAGTGACAAGTGGGTGGTGAAAGTCGGAGACGTAGAGTTCACGAGATATCTTGCACTCCTGGAAAGTGAAGATCGCCCGCAATCAGTGCAGGAATCCACTAGTGGAACTCAACGCAATGCTCCTGGGGCGTTGGTCCAACACCAGCATGTAACAATGGCAGACAGTGGTGAAAGGGAAACACTGTTTCAATCACCGGTTCCTGATTGTCAAAGCCCCTCACATGCAATACCTCAGAGCGGTAGCGGTGTGGAAAGTCCACTTCTGTGCGATGAGAAAGAGTCGCCATCTGCAAATTCATTATCTGCAAAGGCTAATCATGGTTTGGATACCATGAGAACAGACGACGCCAGGAGTCCTCCACATCACTGTTTCACGGCCTCACAGCTGCCATCACGACATGGAATGACGTGTGGTGTTGGAACTGACAGATGGAGAGCTCCAGAGACACTGACTGAAAACAGCTACACGGAAAAATCGGATGTTTACAGGTAAGTGTACAGTTCAGGTTGGTGTGTGTGTGAGTTCTTTCTTTGCAGTTAAAATTGTTATGCACTTCCAGGGCATTGAATTTTTCAACTTTCTTTTGATATTGGCATGATTACTGGATTTTATGCTGACCTTTAATACAAACTTCCAGTCAACTGCCCCATCATGCAGGTGGTTTATACTGGGCATATAAACCTCATACCTCACACAAACCCCATAATAGACCACCACCATACAAACTCCTTTTTAGAAACAGGAAGAAGTTGGCGGTCAGTTTGTATGAAGGTCAGCATAAGTATGATACATATCAATAAGCAAGAAACCAAGGCGAATACGTACAACGAGAAACCGCTGAAAGTATGACATAGCATAATCGCCGAATATCTCAATACTCTTCGTCAGTTTTGTGCCATTTTGTCGCACTCGCTGACTGTATAAGATCTGGTTACGTTGGTGGACAGTTAGTCATAATTCGTAACATTTTGTCCTCCTTTTTTCACCATAATGTAACAAGATGTTGTTTTCTTGGTTTTTTTGTCGATGCAGTATACTTTAGTGAATGCACTCGCATCGTGGTATGACATTCTGGTTGTTTTTGACGAGGTTTTCGTTCGGAAAATAGCCAAGTGTTTACTTCTTGATAGTGTGCCGCTGTCCTGTTTTTCGTTCAAAACAAACAACGTAAAGCCACAGTAGGCAGAAAACACAACACAAACCAATCTTCCTCTATCGATTTCTTTTACTTTGGTGTTATGATTCGTCTCATGAACGCTTTCGTTGAAACACATCTAACATACTGGGCACTAGATTTCTAGCCAGGTAGTTGTTTATCGATATATGAAATGAACGGATATTCCTGTACGTGTGAGTGCATTTGTGTGGGTGCTTAAGTATGTGTGTGTGTTGCGTGGTTGTTTTCGTCCCTCCCTTCATATTGGTCTCTACACACTGATTATGGTAAAGTGAAATTAAAAATAATAGTTTGTATGTATTTGTGTACTTGTTTGTCGTATGTTCTTTTTCTCTCGTAGTTACGGGGTGGTTCTGTGGGAGATATCTACTCGTCAACTTCCCTACGCACATTTGAATTTCCCGGAGGACATTCATCAAGAGATCATGGATGGAAACACGCCAGTCTTTCCTCCCACCACTCCCTACCAGTATCGTCACCTGGCTGAGAAATGCATGAGCGACGAACCATGTGACCGGCCCTCGTTCCAGCAGATAATTCATCATATTGAAGGTCTACAATTATCAGCGTGACAAAATAATGTTGAGGTTTATGTCTAAAAGTAGTAGTCCAATGGCTTCCAAAAAGAAACAATGTCTTTCGGTTCGCGTTTATCTTGATTGCGCTCACCTTCCTCTTCTATTGTCATCTCCAACTTATAACCTTCCACACTTTGTGCTGCAGCTGATTTCCAGTTAGGCGTAGAACGTGTGTCGTGCAATGTTATCACATGAGAACGTCAGTACCGTTGGTCAGTGTCGTGCAATGTTATCACATGAGCTGATTTTAAAGTAACCGATAGTGTAAGTGGACATTACCGGTATAGCGTGACTTGTAGTTCCTTCTTCCTCATTTCTTCTTATAAATTTAATAACAGGTACTGACAGGTACATATTTTCATAAACATCGCCGTTCGCTCTTGAATTCATCAGTAGTAGGCCCTGGGATGACAATACAAGATGAGCAGGTAGACGAAAGAGCTATGCGCTGCGACCAGTGATGGGCTGTGACTGCCTGTTACCGGGAAAGTTCGAAAAACGTGATAGTGTAGATACAGTACTGAGAAATTGAATGTTTGTAGCAGCCAGACTAGTTAGGCATAGAGCAAATTTGGAAATTACGCTTTTGTCGGATTGAAATGGAGAATGAATGAGCGTATGAATAGCACCCAATATCGTTTCGTGGACTCGTAGGTCTCTGCATGAGAATTGCCAGTTCGCATCTGACAGAGATGCCTCGCAATCACACTGTCTATCTACTGCTTACAAAGCTGCATAATGCCGTTCACTTTTTCATTATATTTTATTTTACAATGTACTATTATTATTTTTGTTCGGCAACGCAGATGATGATGATGATGATGATGATTAGTGCATAAGACAAAAATACAAACAGAACGGAAGGCGGAGAGGTTTCAAGGGAAATGTGCGGAACCCTCAGTATGGAATACGGCGCACAACACAAATCACCAGTGCGTTATCGACTCGATGCACTTCCACCAATTTACTTCACAGCACAAGTAATTCCCCTGGAATCCTTACCTCATGTCGTAGTGCAGGTTGTAACATAACGAGCTTCTTATGCTTACACTTCATTTGGTTTTCATTCAGAAATTGGCGTAAAAACGGCTCAAGTCAGCAGAAGACGAGGACGCATATTTATAAGAGTTAGCGCCACATTCGAATATTGTAGGTGCTTGGTGACAGTTGAATGTTTCCATTGGCCACTGGCTTAGCAGAGTATTCTTATACGGAGATTCTTCGCGTAGGTCGTATCCGTCATTTTCAGTTCTAGTTCGGTCTATTTTTGTGCTGTAGGGATGTAGGATTTGCGTACCATCCTTCCTTGGCATCCTCTCTCTCGTGTCCATGACGCTTACGCGTGACACTTCACCTCCTCTGAGCTGCCTTGGTTCCAAAGCAGAAATCTGCAGAAGGCCGGCAAGATAAGCCTGGCAGCGTTGATGTTGCCCCACGCACACCCTGTGTCGAATCCCGGTACAACAATAACATTGTACTCACATAATAATCCTTAACAGCAAGCAAGGGTTTTCGACAGCACCATCTGTGTGGGTAAAATATTCTAGTCAATGTTCCGGTTTCGATCGTGGGCTAAGTCAAATCCAGTTAGGTAACGCCAATCATAAGAGTCGTCTCTATTCTCCCTGCTGCCATTTTCCCATTCATAACGCATCTTTAAAATTTCGTTTGTGGTCACATACACCGCTCGCTTACTCGTAGTAAAAGCTCCCTTTCGTCGACTACCTTTGCTTTCGGTAAACCGTTTTCTTTCGAATACCAAAGAGTCAATGGCACGTGGTGATAGCCACGCAGGATACCTGGAATTTTTAGTGTGGCTTGTTCTGCTGTCGGCACAGTGCGATGCGTGGCAGGTATGCTTCACGGACAAGTCTTGGATGGAATTCGGTTGTAAGTGAAATCAGTATTACTAGAGAACAGTGTTTTCACAAACTCTGAAGCTCCAATTTAACCATGTGATCATTTCATTACACATCCACTACACCGCGTACAACGATTGTTTTCCTATTTTCTTCCAGTAGAGCGTTATCAGGGAAAGTTTGGAAACAATCGCCGTACGTGGTATAGCCAACGACTGTTCGTTTGTAATACTGCTAAGAGTTGCAGTGAAACGGTGACAGTAGGTTTAACATTAGGGCCCCCAACAGGGCACCCAACAGTGCACTCAACGGGTTACCCAAGAGCCACACAGGAGGTTTGAGAGTTCGTTGTTGCACCAGGTTCTCGCTAAATCCAATCCTCGGACGATTCGGGATTTCACCGCTGGCGACCAAGAACATTCATTCCTCAGTAACATTCGGGCACGATGGGGCTGAAGGACAATAGCCATACCAGAGTATGGAGCATGTGGGCGCTTTCATCTCCTCCAGAAGATACGCGATGCAGGATCTTTGACACACGGTTCCTACCCGTGGACAAACCTCGTGTTAACCCTTTTGCATTCCAGCGTCGCGTCTACGCAACGCTCAGAATGGCGCTGAGATAGGTACCGTGCTTTATGGAGTGCCAATCGCACTTTGAAACGCTGCGTCGAGCAGGCAGTCTAGTTGCCGCAATTCTCTCTAAACTATGTACTCATATTTTGTTTATAGTGAAGAAAAGACCAAGGAACTACAAGTTACGCTATAATGTCCAATAACACAACCAGCTCTTGACAATCAGATCATGCGATAACATTGCACGACACTTTCATGGTTCATGTTTGCTTAGCTTCCCCTCCATCTGATCTTTGAACCTTTAGAGCCGCGCAGGTTGTGTGGTATGTTGCCTTGTGCCGAAACGTCGTTTGAACGTAATGTCAAATGGTCTTGCCAGTATCGTCATCGACACGCATGTACATCCCGATCCGCCAACGTCCTTCACAACTGAGCCTATCAGCGTGTGCTTGTTTTGGTTGCGCTCCCTTTCACCTCCTATGTTTAATCATAATAACTTAGAATCTTCCAATTTGAAGGGCTTTTGAGTGCTAGAGATCATAGCCAGCTAGTGGTTGAGCGTCAGCACTGTCGGTCAGTGTTGTGCAATGTTATCGCACCAGCTGATTGTTTAGTAACTGGTGGCTTTAGGGGACATCATAGCGTTACTTGTAATTCCTTAGTTCTTTTCTTTTCTATAAATAATCATTGGCTCTCCATCCAAGGATATATTTTGTCCTTTGATGGAACAGCCTCTTTTACGGGCAAGCAAGCACGCAATACATCAAAATTCGATTAGGATGAAAAAAGAGGAAAATGAACACAAAGGGCACTGGAACTCAACTACCTATTCTTCCGGGTCCAACAGGTCAGGGTGGCAGGTTCGCTGTCCCAACCGCTCGAAGTATGTTCCGGTGTGCCACAGGGCTCAATACTTGGTCCTCTTCTCTTCTTGCTTTATGTAAGTGACTTAACTCGCGTTCCAAATACCTCCCTGTACGCCGATGATACTACTCTTGTGGCATCTGAACTTTCTCTGCCCATGGCATGTAATTCTTTGCAATCGGAAATTCGCTCAGTGGTTGAATGGATGCGTCTCTGGAAACTTCGACCTAATGCTGGAAAGACTGTCCTATTGTGCATTCCACCTCATTCGCGTTCTGATCTTTCCTACATTGACCAGAACCTATTCCACTTCCCTGACAACCGGACGCCTATCTCAATTATTAGCCACCACAAACACCTTGGAATCATCTTTGACTCAGGCATGAGTTGGTCCCACCATCCGGAGTATCTTGAGCGCCGGACAAGTTCGGCTGTTGGTGTTCTATACAGTCACATGAGCCTTTTACCACTAGTATGTCGTCGGAGTTTCTACGCCTCCTATATCTTACCCATAATTTTATACTGTAGCATTGTGTGGTGCAGTGCTGGAGCAGGAATACTTACGCGGCTTGAACTAATGCATCGCAGGATGCTGAGAGCGATATTTCGCTTCCCACTTGACACCCCATTAACAATTCTGTATTCCCAATACAAAACCTGTCCTTTACAAACCATAATTAACCGACTCTGCTGTAGATCTATACATCACATTAAACTGCTGAAGGCCCCAATGCATATTCAAGATGAGCTTTAATAACTGGTTTAACTCCGAGTTACTCCTCTTCGTCAAGTCGTAATAAACTAAGATTCCCTATTTCCAGAAATAACTCAATGAGTCGCTCGCCTGTTTTCATTAGCTATTGTCTCTGGGACTCGCTTCCCCAAAACTGAAATCATGTGAAAACAGTTCTGCCTTTGTTCGTGATCTCTCGGACCATTTTCCGTCAACCTAATAATACAACTTGATTTGCAGTCCAATCTCTTCTTTTTTGTTGTTGTTGTTGTTCTGATTTGCACTTGTTTTTCTTTCTTCTTCTTTTTTTGCCATGGCTGGCTATAATCGACCTCACCTACTCCTTGATTGGCCTTGGCCATGAGTGCGTGCGTATTAATAATAATACGTTGGGGACAGTTTAGCTTGTTGGAGCTCTGGTTGCTGACCGCCCTTGGGCTTGCAACTCGCTTCAATATTCTTTCAATTTTAGCCCCTTTCTCTCGCTCTCTCTCTCTCTCTCTCACTCTCTCTCTCTCTCTCTCTTCATTGTGTAATCCGTATTGTCTTTCCTAGTTCCCAAGTCTGTGTCCTAAGCGTATGCCACCTCGTCGAAAATGGAGCGGTATTGATAACCGAGAAGCCCTGGAGTGCCACTTCAAAGCCATCTGGCCAGATAAGCTCGGATACAGGAAACGGCAGCTTGCTAATTGGACAGAGCGGCGACCAAACGATGCTATAACCGAGCAGTGTCTTGCTGGCCAGATATCCCTTATTAGCCGAAAGTATCTCTCTCTGGTCGAACAAGAAGCCATTGCTCAGCAGCTCGTGGAGCGAGGGGAGCTTCCTAGCGCGTTTCTACAACGTTACCACGCAACGAATCACCAGGGAGAACCGGAGCCCTGCGGGTCCAGCGCTGCTGGCGCTACTACTAGTACTAGTGCTGGCACTACGCGCACTGATGATGCCCAGGCGGATCCTCGAGCCGCTGACACTGGTACTGGTGCTGGTGCTGGTGCTGGTGGTGCTGTCAATGATGTACATGTGCCTCCACCCAACTTTGACGGTGAGTCAACTGTCACTGGATCAACGTGTGAACACGTTCCTGCCTTGCATGCTGATGCACTTGGCGCTGCGGACGGTGGATCTGGTGGTGTGTCGTGCACTGCGGAGAGCCCTTGCACAGACTGCAGAGCACAGACTAATCGTAGCTTATCTGCTTGCCTAGCTAATGCATGTAGTGCTGGTATCATTGACTCTAATGACAAGCAGCTCGTGTGGGCGGTCAAGCATATCTGTGTATGTATCAAGGCTGCTGGGGTGGAAGACACTGGTAGGGTCCTTGGTGGGCTGGTAGCCAGTGTACAGCGTTTGGGTGTTGATGAGAGGCCAAAGCTTGCAGTCCCCAGAAAAATCCCATACCTCCGTCTTTCAGCTACTGTCGCAAAAATCAACTGTGGCATCCGTCAGCTGGTTGCTGCTAGTGAGTTTGACCTGTCCATAGAGTTCTTGAATCATGTTGCGTATGCTGCTGCTGTTCTCACCCTACTGGTTTGTGGTATCCCGCCGGTTCCGGCAGCGCGCATGAGTTCGCCGCAGCCGGAGGTTCCGGGTTGGCAACGCCGGTTACAGCGAAAGGTTGACGCCCTTCGGAAGGATGTCTCTAGACTGACAAGCTACCTGGCATCTGACAACCCGCAAATGTACGAGCGCTACCCTGTGGGAACTCGGCACGCTGCTGCTTCACTTCTAGGAACAAAGAAATTGGAACTTCTGGCCCTTGCGGGTCGAATGCGCAGATACAAAGCTGATATGAAACGAAAGCAGGAGAATCAGTTATTTCGCTACAATGAACGTCAATTCTATCGTAACCTGTGTGCCAAGAAGGATAGTGACCCCGAGAACCGTCCATGTATGGATCAATTGGAGCAGTTCTGGAGAGACATTTGGTCTCACCCTTACCCTGTGCGTCGTCAGGCCTGGATCCAGCGTGAAGGCACGTACGCAGAGGCCATCCATGCCCAGGAATCTGCTGTCATTACTGCTGACCTTATGTCTGCTGCGACCTCCAAGATGCCACACTGGCGTGCTCCTGGTTGTGACCAGATCCCACCATTCTGGATTAAAAAATTTACTGCTCTCCATCCAGCTCTACTTCGAAATTTCCAGCTGCTTCTGGATGGTGAGCTGGATGCCCCAGCATGGTTTTCACTGGGCCAGACGGTCATGATCCCAAAGAAAGGAGACCTAACCCAGCCGCAGAATTGGCGACCAATCACCTGTCTGCCAGCCATGTACAAGCTATTCACCTCCGTGATTGGTGAGTTGATGTGGATCCATATCCAGACCAATGACATTCTGGCCCATGAACAAACTGGCTGTACTCGTAACCGAGGAGGCTGCACTGACCAGCTGCTGATCAATGCTATGATTACCCAGGATGCTAGGCGTCATCACCGCACCTTGGCAATGGCTTGGTTGGATTTTAGGAAAGCGTTCGACAGCCTATCGCAGGAGTGGCTAGTCGAAGTCACACGTCTGTACAAATTCCACCCCAAGATCACTTCGCTCTTGTCTGTGCTCTCATCGCAGTGGCGTACCCGGCTGCGCTTGGGAGCTGACATGAGTGAGGCAATACCGATCCGGCGAGGCATTTTCCAAGGTGACTCGTTATCCCCTCTGCTCTTCTGTCTTGGATTGAATCCAATATCAGGTGAACTCAGCAGAAGTGGCTTTGGATATGCGTGCGGACTTCAGCGGACAACAACCGTATCCCACTTATGGTACATGGATGATGTGAAGCTGATGGCCGCAACCAGTAAGCAGCTTAACTCAATGATCAACATAGTATCGTGCGTTGGGAAATCCATTGGAATGGAGCTTTCTCCAGCAAAGTGTGCTAAGCTTGTGTGCCCACATGGTGCTGTTGATCCAGATCAGCCAGCAACTGTCACAGTAGATCAAGCCTCCAGCATTGCCTCCTTGGCGGACGGCTCCGTGTATGCCTACCTTGGCATAAGGGAGTGTTTTGGCATGGCGGAACAGTCTGTTAAGGTGGCCACCACCAAAGAGTTCAGGAGGCGATTGCGGCTGGTGACCCACACATCTCTCAACGCCTGCAACCTCTCTCGTGCTATTAACTCTTATGTCATCCCAGTGCTGTCGTATGGCTTGTGTATTGTGCCATGGACGAAGGATGCCATTGCAACCTTCGACAGGAATGTCCGAAGTGCGCTCCGCGCAGTGGGAGCACACCACCCACGATCTTCCACCATCCGCTTTCACCTGCCGAGATCTGAGGGCGGCCGAGGGATTGTATCGGTTGAGCACCTGCTGGAGAGGAAATACATCCGCCTGTCTAGGTATCTCCAGGCGCACTCTGACCTGCCGCTGATTGCTGCGCTGCATGCTCATCATGAAAATCTTCCGCCTACAAAGTCGATCATCTCCCGGGCGGCCACGGCAATGGAGCACTTCAACATCCTGGACATTGGCAGAGGAGTGGCGGTGTATTGGACATGCCTCTCTCATTCAACTTCTTAAAGTCTCCAACATTGCGTCCATCCACTGAGTCATCCGTATTTGCTGCTCAGGATCAGGTGGTTAATACCAGGAACTACCAAAGATCGGTTATTGGCGACACTTCCGTGGTGGACGTGTGCCGTTTGTGTGGAGGTCCGGGGGAGACTGTTGACCATATTTTGGCATGCTGCCCCGTGTTGGCACGGACGGCATACATTACTCGCCATAATCGTCTTGCCGCTATAGTCCACCGGGCACTCTGTCATCGCTACAGACTGGTATCTCCTGCTCCCCCTGGCCACTTGCCACACTACGTCGAGGATAGTGAAGGCCGTAAGTTAATGTGGGAAATGCCAATCCCTACAGATAGGATGGTTGGAGCAAATCGGCCGGATCTTGTGTGGGACGATGGCAAGTCAGTCCAACTTATTGATGTCAGTGTGCCACTGGATCATAGAGTAACACTAAAACATGCTGAAAAGAGAGCGAAGTACTTGCCCCTCGCAGTGGAAATTGGGCAGATTTGGCAGCGAGAGGCAGTGTCCGTAGTGCCCATCATAGTTGGTGCTCTTGGTGGCCTGACGAAGGAAGCGGCTACCTCAATTAAGCAGCTATGTGGAGAAGAGCGGCACCTTCATGAACTGCAGCAGGCTGCTATCCTTGGCTCGATGGCCATTCTAAGATCTGTTTTGGGTGCAGCATAGGGCTCTTCGCTGTCCCTGGTGGGCTTTTTATGCTCTGTATGTTATTGTATTCGTTTTAGTTTGTAACACTGTGGTATTTCTGTGGGTATTCGTATTTGATCTTTCTGTGGGTGCGCATTGGAGGTTGTGCCCAGTGATGAGCTTTGCCGGCCTGAATTTTTCGCCAACTTCTGATGCTCCCCTTTCTGCAATACCTGTTGCCATGATACCTCTGAGCTTTAATGCCTGTGATGGTACATGCGCCTTTCTCCCTTCCTCTCTCTCTACCTTACTTTTTTCCATATATTATTCCGTGCTGCTTACCTTTGGCTATGATAAGTCCGGTGAGTTAGTGTAATACCTCCAATTTTTATTTTTATTTTCAATTTGGAGTGGAATAAAGACTCATAATAATAATTCAAACAGTAGTTTGGAGGCGGTGGGAAAACAGTTTCGTAATAAGTATTCGCATGCAACGACGCAAATCCACACAATTCAGTAGACACTTCTTTTCTAGCAAACGAAGGGAAAGAAAACGTTTGATAGAAAAGAAGTGTCTACTGAATTGTGTGGATTTGCGTCGTTGCATGCGAATACTTATTACGAAATAATAATAATAATAATAATAATAATAATAATAATAATAATAAGGAAGGAGGAGGCCACCCGGTTCCTGAAGCTGCTCGGAACTAAGCTCTCCACCAAGCTCTCGCAGCCTTATCCCCTCGTGATGGGAAAGCTGCGGACGGACCTGGCTTTCAGCCTTGTCCGCGACTCCGTCCTGATGGTTCGCCGTGCATTCCGTGCACCTGGTCTGGCGACGGATGTGGATGCTGTTTCTGTGGAGGCCCGCATTCCCGCCACTACGTGACGCTAAGTCCTCCTGGGGTTTGCCGCTCTCCGGTCCTCTTTCATCCCGTTCTCCCCTCTTTTTTGGGGATTCTTTGTACTTCGTCTTTCTTGTTTTTCTTGGTCCTTTGTTTTTTGTAGGACAGATTTTTGGTGTGCTGATTTCGGTCGTTGTTGTGTCTGACTCTATTCCCAATATCTAATTCTGTGGTTGGTTCTCCAACTCATTGGGTTTTGTAGTTTCCATCATGAGTTTGATTCCATCGTGAGTTTGATTCCATCGTGAGTTTGATTCCATCGTGAGTTTTGGTTCTATTTGCTATTTTTCGTTCCATTTTTGAGCTCATATTTTATTTTCCTGATTTCTTCTCCAGTGTATGTTGTATTGCATTTTAATACATTGTGTTAATTTTTGCCCGTAAAAGAGGCTTGCACTTCAAATAATAATAATAATAATAATAATAATTGTAGAAGAGAAAAGGACATATCGATACGAGTTAAGAGTAACTCTCCATCACCACAATAATAATAATAATAATAATATGAAAAGGAACGCAAAGCGCAGTGGAACACGTGGAACACAATGAGCATGGTACCACCAATCGGAGAAGACCTCGTCGAGAAAATGACCAAAAACCCAAACAAACAAGAACAATAGATGTGGTGAGAACAAACAATAAAAAACAGGAAATTAAGATACCGTACACTGTTTGTTCTTTTGATGGTGTTTCCCAGCCTACAACGCAACGCTGGGAAGCCATTATCAGCAGTGCTTCGACCCAGCTGATCGAGCCACTCCGGATGAGGTCCCGTTCATAACGCCTGTCCACCACACAACACTGATTCTTATGACCGAGGTGAGCATACAGGATAAGAAATAATAATAACATGCACATGAGTCCACTCTCGCGTTCGCACTCTCAACAAATGAACATGTACATGTAAATGTGCATTTACATGTTATCGCCAAAGCCCGTTGAGTTGTAAGATTTCAAAAGAAGAATTCTTTTACATGTACATTATACTGGTAGAAGGTAAGCGGTTCTTCTCATTTGCTTTGAGTTTTTTTCATTTGCTTTGAGTTCCTTACATTTGGAAATTGTTTTGGATTTTAGTTGCATTTCTATCATTAATAAAGATGAGTTTTGCCCGTACAAGAGGCTTGAAAAAAAGAAAGAAAAAACGAAGGTAAGCGGTAGGATGTGACGGTTTCAAAGTCAGCTAACATTGAGTACACCATCACCAATGGTGGGGTTTGTGAAAGAACCTCTTGCTGTTGTGATAAGTGTATATGGTCGGGCACAGAGCGCAACGGTGCAATGGTGCTGTGGTCAATGTAAGCAGAATAATCATGCTGTCTATCCATAGTTAAAGCTGAATGAGGATTTATTTCTAATTTTTAAAATTTAAAATTTTGTGATTTGGAGTTTACTCTGCTCCAATGGATTAGAAATGCCCACTGCGGTTAATAAGCGAATCAGGGAAATGATGTTGCCCCCAAAGGCAAAAAAACGGGAAAATTGAAGGAGTTCATGTATAACCAAGGACGAAGGACGTTTGTGTGTATATTTATGCATTAATGTTTCTGGGGAAAACTGCTTAAATAATACGTGCGGGTACGGCACGAACAAATTTAATTTCAGGAAAAGGTAACCAAATGACTTTGTTGTGGTCTCGTTGCTTCTGGTTTCGTTTCCTAGGTCGGCGAAAGCGTATCACTTGCAGGGGACGTTCAACCTCCAAACGTACAACACCCGAATTCCTTCCTGCTGACCCATGAGCCATTGAAAGACACGGTGGTCACCAGTGAATACTGTAAGTGCGTTCTTGGTGCATAGGTGCACGCGCTTTCGCCGCTGTACGTGTAGTGTGTACTTTTAAAAAATGTCAATCAGGTTTGTCAGCCTGTGCTCCTGCGAAACTAAGACAGCTTTTACAGAGGCGCAATGCTGCATGCTCCTCCATTCGAATTCGTCGTGGCCTCTCACCTTCGCGATATGACGCCTGTGTGTGCTACATAATTATTATGCTCAATACTACACGATAGAGAGAGAGGGGGGGGGGGGGAGCTGTGTTGCAACTGCGAGTTTCACGCAGTCACGATCATCAGGCAACTACCTGACTACTTGAAACTCGGAGTTGCAACACAGCTTCCCCTGTTTAATTTGGAAGGCTAAGCCCTATACTATTATGGGTATTGAGCACTCTTCGGCCAGTGCAGCACGCTACATGAACATGCTTATTCCTATACAAACCGAAAATTCACCTTCAGTACCAGTACCAGTTGTGTTAGTATCGCTGAAACCGTTCAAGAAGTGCTGATGTCGTCTTCTACGCGACCCACCAAAACAGCACAGACGTAAGGAGTTGGTTACTCCCAGACTGGAGCCCATGCGTAACATCAGTTGGCGGGAAAAGCGCATGCTCCAGCGGGCAGCAATCAAATTCCTTGTAACAGTAGACCGGCTCTGGAATTTGTAAAAGTTTTGATACCGGGGGGTGTACCCAGTGTGCTGACAGCGCTCAACACCATGGCGGAGGCAAAGTGTAATACAGAACAGAACAACAAGGACAATCAAGGCTTGTTTGCTGCGACTTCAAGTTTCATGCTCTGTTGCCTGATGATTGCAAGAGCAAGAAACTTGAAGTCGCTGCAAACATGCGTTGCTTGTCCTTGTTGTTCTGTTCTGTAAACGTTTTGATAGTACCAGCCTTGACAGAACTTCGTTCATTCGCGCCGTCGGCATAGTTATTTTAAAAACTAAATGGACGATTAATCGTTTGATTCGGGATAAACAATCAATAAAAGAAATGAGACTCGAGTGGAGATCCGAGGGTTAATTTCGAACAAGAGCTACAAGTTACGCCATAATATCTACTAGCACCACCAGACACTTTACAGTCAGCTCATGCGATAGCATTACACTGCACGGGCCAACGGTACTGACGTTCCTCCTCCTCCTTATGTCATTTCTGTAACTTAGAACCCTCGGAGCAGGAAGGCTGTTGGAGTGCGCATCCAAGATGTGCTACAGCTGATTGCCAGTCAGTATAGAACGCCAGAAGCGCTGGTCAGTGTCGTGCAGTGTAATCGCAGGAGCTGATCGTAAAGTAACTGGTGGTGTTTGTGGATATTACCGTACTGGCAATATTATATGGTCGCAGTGAGGCCATGAAGCGTTACATTGGCACATGTTTACCGCACGCAGGGCGTTACATGCAAAGTCTCACAGGAGCCGTTACACAGGTTTCTATATTGCCGCAGTCCCTTTTTTTTGCGATTGCAGGACTTCCTGCTGCGTCCAGTTTTGAACTTTTCACCACGCGGTACACGTGCTTTCACAGTTTTCAGCCGTTTTTGCAATGAAAAGATCGCCGCACCCCGCCGGACGCGCGTTACGAATGCAACGAAATTTGTCGCACTAGCCTGGTCACGCGTTACGCATCACCCCCTGCGTTACGCGTTACGCGGCAACATATATTGCCAGTACGGTATAGCGTAACTTGTAGCTCTTTCGTTCTTCTCATAGAATTTAAAAAAAAAGGATTAGAATTTTGCCGTTTGCGCTACATTGAACGATAATTGTAGGCAGCCCAAAATATTCCCTCGGTGTGGTATCTTTTCCGCGATAGGTTCTGTTTACGGGAGAAGGAAAAATTTAAGATTTGAGCCAGAGCACGCCAAAATATGACCACAGACCAAAAATTCGATTTTCAGTTTTTTGTTCAAAAATTAATTAACACACCTAATGTTCACTGTCTGAAAGTTTTGGATTGATCCGACATGTCTAAGTGTTGCTACAATGGTATTATATGCAGCACTGTTGAAATGGTGAAATTCTATGTACAGCAATGGGATTGTCATTTTGCACACAATTGATATGCCCCTTGGTTCATCCTTTCCGGGTCAGTTCCTCTGTCCAGGGTCTTATAGAATGAGCTGACAGGTACTCAGCCACATCCAAATTGTCTATAGGCAGCTGAGCTAGGTGTCCGAAATACCCCCTGTTTGAAGCACCACTGGAGAACCGCCAGCGAAAACACAGTCAACATCTGTAGATGGCCGAAGAAGTTGGCACTCGATGTCCTCTCCATCACACTCCACCTGTACTTTCAGATAGACAGTATACTGCTGCACACAGTGTTCCTCAACATACTCGACGTCGCACTCATATTCCCCACACCAAAGCCCATCTGCACACGGTTTTCTCCGCTCACCAGAGAGTACTGCTTTCGCTGCATACTGCTCATGCTAGCGATGTTCCGCATAAGGGTCCTCAAATTATCGACTTGAGCAAGTTCAGGGAGCAGCAGAGTCCAGTGATTGTTTTTACACTTGCAACCAATACTGGCATTGTCCCGGATATGTGCAGCGATGTCCATTCTGGCCAAATCATCGGCCGACTCACCTCCCAAGTCAGTGTCGATGCCAATCGCTTGCCAGGTTGTCATCAGAGTAGAATTCCTCGTCATTGCAGATCGTGGGACTACCAGCATCAAATCTTTTTACGCTCGATGAAAGTGTCGCCCTCAAATGACTCGTCGCTGTAGCCATCATCGTCTTCCTTCTGTTTCCGACTCGAATCCTCAAAATATTTTATCCTGCGCATGGAGTGCGATGATGTCGTCTTCTTCCGCTCCGCAGTACATTACTACTACTAGGCTCTTCTGTCGATACATCGATGACGATCAGTTTTAGGCGACTCAGCGCAACATGGAATACAAACTCTAACAAATAAACTTACTTGCAACAAAGAATTGCATCCGGAACAGTCCAGTCGACCGAGGAGAACAACAACAGCGACTCGCGTTGGACTGCACTTCGTATTTTTTGCCGCGGAATTCAAATCGCGATTATCTCGACTTTTTCAAAAAAAGCTGTGGTCATGTTTTAGCGCGCTCGGGCTCATTTCAACTAATACTTGGGTGACAGCACAAGCCGAACGTTGTGTCAGAAAAGGAAATCCTACTCAGGTCTCGTACAATAAAAATTGGCACGGTACACGCCGACTGTCAAAATTAGGTGAGCGCTAACCATGTCTAATACACAAGAGAGAGATTTGAAGCTTTGTTACAACTCTGAGTTTCACGTATTGCTATGATCATCAGGCAAACCACTTGACTAGCCATGTCTAATACAAATTGCACAACGCCGTGGAAAAATAACACGCAACTTTCATAAACTTTTTCCATAGTTTACCCAAAAGTAAAAAAGCAACTATAAGAGGCTAGAGAAGGCTCTTCGCCTGAGATTCACGGAAAAACATTTTCAAATTTCATCTCCATCTTGCCGATAAACTCAAAAATGCATTGAAAATGTAGTCAAAATTACCCCTAAAAAGAGTTATGCCGCCCCAGCCATTTTAATTTAGCCACATTTTGCCAACCTCAATGAACATAGAATGGCTTTTGACTGCTCGTTCTACTAGTCGCATTCAAATTTCGGCGGTAATGAGCCGATACTGTCATGTAGAAATCGTAATAATTATAGTACTTCTGAAGTACTAGTAGAACCTAGATGGCGAGCGGAGGAAAACATTTGCAACATGGAAATTCTGGGCACACGTTATGCGATCGAGTCCTCCTACTAAACCAAACCAGCTAGATTGTGCACGTCTGACTGTTCAAAATCTGATGTAGTTGGAGGACTCGATCGCATAACTTGTGCCCACAATGTCCCATGTTACAATTACTATAACCTACTTGTAAAGGTAAAAGCGGAGAAAAGGTGCTCATATCGTACGCACATGTCCCTTCTCCTTTATGAAAATAATTCTGTCCTCATATTATTAGAGAGGTTAAGATGCACTTTATTTCTGACGTGATATCAAAGTTCAGCTCTTATTTGGCTCGCGAGTCGAAAAACAACGCAGCTCACGTAGAAATTTGGAGTTCCACGCCCAATATGACGTGAAATTGCGCGTCACGTCGGAAAAAAATGCGCCTCTTTTAAAACCTCTCTATTGCCTTGAAAACACAGTTAGAGAACTGGTGCGTGTTGTCAGTTTTGTGTGTCTCCTGGCTTGACTAGCTGTCCTTTTCATGTTGCGGTGTTGTCTTCAGGTATTCTCCTGCTCATCGACTGCCAATCAGTTGATCCGTCTGAGCTTGATCGACATGAAATGGATCTGATCGTCACCCAGCTAGGTGATACGGAAGGAGGAAACACAGCAACAACATTACCACTCAGTGTAGATATCTACTGTAACCAAACAGGGAGCACACTTCCGGCAACAGTTTCTACGGAGAACTGCATTGCTCCAGCGATCAGCAAGCAAGCGCAGGAGAATGCCATTCGACTGTCAACCACCCAATCCACCAGAACCACTGGCTTGGACTCCAGCCATCCTGACAGTCCCCTGCAGTTCGCAGCTACGACGGGAACCACTACGACGTTCTCCAATGCAGCCGTTTTGCCCTGCTATAGCGCCATTTTCTACACGTCTATTGCTGCGTCCTATTGCATTGTTCTTTTCCATTGAAAGCTGCTGTTGGCTTATCTTCACCCCTTCATTCCTCCTTCGCCCATCCCCTTCTCTTCCCGATAATTGGTGCTCTTCGGCATCGCTTCCCTCAATGATCGACAATTGGACCCCCACACCTCTGTTAAGTCCATCAACACCGACAATGACAAGTTTTAGTTTATAGTTTCTCCATACCGTGATCCATGAACATCACCTCTTATCATCTGTCTCATTGTAAATAGTTCCCCCTTAAACACACATCCATTCTCGTTCTCTCGGCTCTCAAGCATCTTCTATTCATAACAACATGAAGCCTCTTGTACGGTAAAATAATTTGCAGATCGGCATGCAAACTTGCGTGGGTGAGCAGTGTATACTTCTATAGCCAGTATCCAAACATCAGATTCACGCCAATGGCGTCCATATTCTCCGTATAGAGGTTATGCATTTGATGTCATGGTGGCATTGGTGGGTGACTAGCAGATTCCCTCATGGCCGCTGAATGCGGCATGAGTCGGTGGTATACCTCACAACTCACCCCACGCTAGCCCCATGTACCGTATTTTCCCGAGTATAGTGCGCACTTTAGATGTGTCCCCTTATTTCTATTTATCGCCGTGGTTGACAATCACCCACTCTCGTAACATTGGCCGGTGTTTCCGCCGAGTCTTGAGATGTTGTAATAAATAATAAATAATGTGCTATTTTAGGCCCTAATTCGCATGTGCGCACTATGCTCCGAATATGAAATGCATGTACTTCAATGAAGATTGAAGTGCGCACCCCCAATGAAGATTGGGGGTGCGCGTTATACAAAGGTGCGCACTATACTCCGGAAAATACGGTATGAGTTTTGTATCTTGTAAAAAAATTGCTGAATTCCTTTATACTCAATCTGCGGACAGCATGCTGTTTCGTGAATTCCTTCATGGTAGCCAAGTATATGGTGCGAGTCTCTCGCTTCAGCTTGTGCATCGCTGCTAAAAAAATATTAATTCGACGGGTTCGCGTACCGGGCAGGTCAAGAACAAGGAGTCGTACAACTCCCTGGTCAAGGCCCACCTTTCCGCTTCTGTGGGACGCCACCACCACATGATCAGACGTCAGATGCGGCTCCTAAACGTTGGGGATGGATAGATCAGATCCACCAACCAGAGGCCAAAGGCCAAAATCCCATTTGCCACATCCATGTTTTACTCATGCCAGACCACGAGTTCCCAATAAACTGTGGGTCGCAGCACGTCTGGAAAAAATCCTTCCGCTTCCAAACAGGACTTGAACCTGGTACCTCTCGTTTCTCAATCATGGTCTTAGACCAACCCACTGTGCCTGCCTGCATCGCTGATTCGCTGCGCCACAGCTTCCAAAAACATCTGAAATAATGATGCTATCGCATCACCTCTAGTCCTTCAAATTGTTTGAAAGCCTGCCATTGTATAATACCATTAGTCGATAAATCAGTTTCCAGGCTGTTCGGGAAGGTGCGAGTCCTACTTTCAAGCACGGACTTCTAGAACATTTCAGTAGTTAATAATAATAATGTTCTCCATTGTTTTAACTGGAAAACTTAGCCAGTTATAAATGTAAAAAGATGAGAAAACACGTGAGAACGAGTTATGCAGCAACTATCCACGACCGTAATAAGATGATAGAGAGTCAGAACGTGCGGTAATGAGGCACAAAAATGACAGGCTACTGAGACATTCAGCAACTTGAGACTAAGGGCGCGTTCGAATTGTCTTCATCAACTGTTCTAACACATTTTATAAAGATATCAGTTGAAGTGTCCCATTAGAACGGTTTCTATCATTTTAGAGTTTTTCAGTGGAATTGTCATGGCGATGATGACGTCCGATCAGATCGACCATCTCCACGTATTGCGTGACGTAGCTATTCCAAACTCTTCGAAACTAATCCACCTTCCCATCGGATGAGTTTCGAGGAGCTTCGTTTTTCTGAAGAGGCCAATAAGGCTACCTCTTCAGAAAAACGAAGCTCTTCGAAAAGTCAAAGAGTGACAATTCGAACGTGCCCTTAGCTCTAACACATCGCCAGTGCGCAAACCAACAGCCTTCCAACTAGGAAGGTTCATGGTTACGTAGGACTGAAGACAGGTAGGTGAGCGTGGCGAAAATGTGCACAAGCTAAGAGCCACGGCAGCAAAGAATGCCGACTGTTACAGGACCATGACGAGACCAATAACATCACAATGCGCTCCAAGTTAGACTAACTACAATTCGAAGAAGCAAAGCAACACACCACCCAACTTGGGTGGGTAAGCAATATCAGAGATAAATGAAGGGGAAAGCTTGGCGAAAACGAAATGTACAAAAACGGACGCCAATATTTCACGGTACTACTCATGCATGGCACGTGGACGAGCTTACTACTGTCACAAGTACTAGTAGTTCCAAACGATGTAAGTTTAGCGGTGTTGTTAGTGACGGCTCATCAGGTGTGCAACATTTTAACTCGGATACTGAGCCATTGATGAATTTAACAAAGAGAAGGAAACACATGAGACCGAGTTATGCAGCAACTATGCACGACTGTAACAAGATGATAACGAGTCTGAGCGGGCGATAATAGGGCACAAAACTGACAGGCTGCTGAGACATTCAGTGACCTGAGACCTAGCTCCAACACATCTCCAGGTAAGACCCACCCAAGTTGGGTGGTGTGTTGCTTTGCTGCTTCGAATTGTAGTTACACTGGGGATGTGTTAGAGCTAGGTCTCAAATCGCTGAAAGTCTCAGTAGCCCGTCATTTTGTGCCCTATTCTCGCACTTTCGGACTCGTTATCATCTTGTTACAGTCGCTATCGCTATTACTATACCAAATATTATTAACAAGCAATGGCTGAGCTTTTGGGAGATGTCCTGTAATGGCTGCTATAATAGTGAGGTTTTGCATTCCGAATTTCGGTTCGGCGTTCTTCGGTCATTTGTCGAACATCAAAATGTCGAATTTTCGCACCAACGTTTGTTTTGCAAGTCGAAAATGATGTGTTTTCATTTCGTGAGCCCCAGCATCAGCAACGTCCGGTCCCGTGCTCCTTTTCTTGCTTATTCCAACGAACTTTGATCGCCCAAAGAGTCGAGGGCCAAACCTGCCTCCTCAGTCGCCTCAGAAAAACCAACTCCATGGCCAAGTCAAATGTTATGCGTGTCGCCATAGTCTTTTCAGCCACACAGATGACGGTGAGAACACTCCAGGCGAAAGAGAGTCGACAGGCAGTGGAGAGGAGCAATCAGAGGTAGCTGACGATGCTATGTCGCCAAAGACGCCTGCCAAGCGATGCCGAGATAAGAAACCTCTTTGAATAAATCACTCGCTAGCCCTCTTCTACAAGAAAAATGCATCCGAAAAATATTTTCGGCAAAGTGAGCTTTTTCCGAACAAACACTCCGAATCTTCGTGTGCATTTTCGACCTCGCTCCCGCGTGCCGAATCTTTTTGCCGAATTTCGGAATGCAAAACCTCACTAATATCTGCCCTTGTTTTTCGGATGACATTTCATGCTCCTTCTCAAAAAGGATCTGATTATGCATTCACTCAGCACGGCCACGCCAGTGAGACGTGGGACGTGTACAGACAGTGCATGCTGCGCAATGAAATCCAGTGGCGTCACTCCGTCGAGTAGATCTACGCGCCTGGAGTTGCGCAGCCCTAGACCTGCGAACACCGTGCAGCGATATGGTGCAAGCTTTACTTCTGACGCGACTGGATTTCATTGAGCAGAACTGCACTACAAAGCTACATGTAGTAAGTAACCTGTACGGACGACAACGCAACTGACGACCCTGCGCATGAGATTTCTAGCAACACATTTGCGTTCACACCCGTCCGGCCGGGGCTTCATTCATAACACTGACTATAAAAAAGTGGTTCATTTTGAGAAAGACTTTGAAAACAGTCGGTCGCTAAAACTAGTAAAAGGGTTTAGAGATTGGTGCTTTAGAAGCGGGTACAGACTCTCTGCAGTCGAAATGTGGTGGTCTCTGCAAATCCTTGCGCTATGGACATTCTCGGGGTGCGTGAGCTCCGTGCAAGTGCCGAAGCGAAAGAACATTTTGTTTCTCGCTATCGATGGTGAGTCGAACAAACCCTTGTGTGATTCTCGTCTTATCATCCCATTCATTCATGACGGGTTCTCCCAGCTTCTCCGTGAATGTCTGAGGCTTTCCATTGACTCGTGATTGCCGTCGACATGCAGTGGCGTGCACCGAGTCTTGAAAAGGGGGCTTCTAGAGTTACTAATTTTTTTCTGGAGACCCACTGTATATTTATGTATTTGTGCACATGCGCATCCCCCGAACATCCCGTCGGAGATAACGGCGAGGGCTAGGGAGGAGGCTAGGGGGGAGGGGGGACTCAAGATCAGGGGTGCAGGGCGCCAATGAACACTGGTGCTGATGAGATGCGGGGCTCGTCCGACTGCTAATGCTATCATCAGATCATGCTGGCACAAACGCGTCTGAAAGGGCACCAGGTACAGGTGTAGAAAGGACAGAAATAAGAGTAATGAGGAATGGAGGGAGGGGACGATGTTACATGGAAATGTTGGTACATGTATAACCCGTAACAGGATAAAACGGGTATGGGTTACCTTTTACATACCAGCAGGTCAGCTGCATAATGCCGTTTATTTTTATTTTTTTAAACTTTTTACTATTATTATTTTTTCGGCAACGTAGATGGTGATGATGATGATGAGGTCGTCCACATGTATTAAAGGAGGCGAAATCGCCTGTTTGTGGTGCGACGTTAAATAAACTTCTACAACAACAACAACTTCAAAAAGTAAATGTACTCATATACATAATACTCATAAAAAGGACACACTTCAGGCTCATTGCAAACATCTTGAAAGTTTTTGTCTTCACAAGTATACTTTCAAGCCTTCTCGTCAGGTGAAATACAGGCAAGGGAAAATGAACAGGAACAGTGGATTAAATACAGTAAGAAGGTGGTAAAACAGCACAAAAAAGAAGATAGCTAAAGTAAACAGCGAAAATTGCAATAATGACACAAAGGTGCAAATGCGAGAAAACTCAATAAGCGTGACATGTAGTGCGACAACAAGAGACAACCACTGGACATACATGTAACTAATGTTTGTAATGAGCCTGAAGTGTGTCCTTTTTATGAGTATTATCGCATTTTTGTCTCAGAGGAAACTGTTTACTCATATACATGTTTGTCATATTGAACCCGTAAAGGTTTGATAGGCCTAGCCGCCCGGGCTACATGTATACACTAAAGTCTATAAGTATAACACTATGTCTATGATACTTCACTACAAGAAGTGGTCCACTCCATGCAGGCATGTTTGTTTCATCAAAATACTGCTTACATTCGACGTATCTTTCTTTCTGTTCTTATGACGAAGTTTTCGGCATGTATTGGCAATGTTCCACATGATTTCAATATAGAGTTTTGGACTTTGCTTCGATGGAAGCTCGCGGGAGAAAAGCGAAGCCCCGCGTCCTTGAGTCGCGGCCGGAGCAGCGCTTCGTTCTGAAGAAGCGCAAGTGGATCATGGACGCACATTTTTACGTCTTCCAGTCGACAACGTTTTTGACGAACATGTCTGCTGCGCACATGAGCGAGAACGAAAGGCTGTCATCATTATTTGAGTCAACAGTTAGAAGGAGATCTCGTCAATTATATCCTTGAACTAACTTGCATCGTGCGTGCTTCACTCAAATTTCGAGACGAAACGGATTTCTTGAACGTCATCGCCAATCCAGGAGCGAACCAGAGCTAGAGATCGATCTCTCTGTGGCTACTCTCCACTGAAGAAAGAGAGAATAATGTATTTTGAACTGCATGCAAAGCAACTCTCTCTCACTTTGAAATAAGGACATAGTCACTGTACTGTAAACCGCCCGTCGATCGACGCGTATGCAGGATAACCAATCCAGTTCGAGCGTAGGCACTCTTTTCCTTTGGCAAGATTGCCCGAAAAAAGGTGGTTTCCAGACACCAAAAAACTCATACGGTGCATGCGCCTGACATGTAACACAATTTATGCTGAACGTCTATCTTACTGGCAAATCGCCCTGACGCAGGTCACCAGGTCAAGGGTTTTCGTGACCGTTGCGTGCAAAATAGTCGACTGGAGCGAGCCGTACTCCAGGGCCTAAGAGAAGGGGGGATGGAGCATGGCAAGGGGGGGGGCACACCCTGTATGGCCACTTGATTCTCCTATCTCTATCCCAGGATAGATCCAAAGCAGTAGGAGCAATGCTGACAGAAATGGACAAATTTCTCAAAATAATACGTGCCTGGCCACACAACACTCTCTATAATGTATGGTTCTGGCAAAGAGCGCACCATCTCACCACCACTATCAGTTTTCACCTTGTGGATTCAAGGCTGATGGTTTAAGATTACAGGGAAACCTGTCTAAGGGGATCCCTCAAGGGACGAGAAAAAGTGGTTGCCGTGGCCAGGTGGTCTTCTTATCCAGTTTCAGTGGGTCACGTGACCATATCCACATGGGATACATCATTTTGATCAGTGTATCACAGTGCACACACCTATGCTACTCTACCACGACTCATGTGCCTGGGGTTCTCAAACCTGTCAAGTGTCGTGCATACGCCATGTATATCTACACTTCCTGGACTGATGTGTAGATCTACCATGCATGGTGCGCCATGCAATGCGTACATTAATTTTACATGTACTAGCACTGTGCAATGCGGTCGCGGGTGGGTGGTCGTCGGTCGCGTTGAGCGAGTGGTCGCCTTATCCGAGCGGTTTTGAAAGTGAATGCGTCCGTGACAAGGAAAAGAGGTCGTCATGGTCGAGTGGTCGCCATATCCGAGTGGTCGCCATATCCGAGTGGTCGCCATATCCGAGTGGTCGTCATTACAGCTTTTACTGTTCCAATAAGGTCCTTTCTTCTTTTAAACACCAGTATTAGAAGTCCGAAAATAAGTACCGTACCAAAATAAGTCCACACCCCCTTCATTCTTTTGACTCTGTTGAAGTCAAGTTGAGCCCGTTAAACGTACTGCCCGAAGTAAGTACCAGTACTGTTCTCACATGTAACAACGGGTCTAGTTGTATTTCCTATGCCTGATTTGCTATATCTCCGTCTGCCTGTAGACCTGCGACCGAGCCTCGGTAGCTATGGCGTCAAGGAGGTCATTTCGCCAAACATTGATCAGCTTGCAGCCAAATCCATGCAATTCAACAGAGCTTACTGCCAGGTTGCGCTCTGTTCACCATCAAGGTACAGAAAATACCTTTTATTCCCGTAGCTATGCAAAAGACGTTACTTCAGTAACGTTAGGCGCTAGCCAGGGTCCACACAGCTTTAATTCCTGTAGCTATGCAAATGACGTTATTTCAGTAACGCCTGGCGCCAGCCAGGTCCACAGCTTTAATTCCGTGTGTTTCTGTGTTTGTTCTGTCGGTATGCCTGGCGCTCTCCCGTACCTGTCCCGTACCGTACCATCAAAGACAGCTGGCCACAATATTCAAATAGGTCTTTCAAATGCAAGATCATAACGTGGAACAACTTGGAAGAATGAGTATGTATGCGGTGTGTATCGGGGGAACGCATGCAGGACGATAGTGCGGGTTCGAATCCTAGGTTATGTCGTGAAAAAAATAGGAAAAAATAAAAATTTATAACATCCCTATGCTGTTTTGCCTAGGTGATCAGGGTAGTAGACGGTGATGAGCTAGGCAAGAAAAGCATAGCATAGGGCTCTGAGCTTCCAAGCTCTCTCGTTGATACCTGTTTGGGCGGCTGATGTTGCTGGTGCCGCTGCTGCTTTGGTGTGGTTCCTGTTCCTATTTTGGTGATTGTTGTTGTTGTCTTTCTTCCTGGTCAAGTTGATTTTGATGTTGTTGTTCCTGCTGGTTTTGCTGTTGTTGGTCGTGGTACATGGAATGATTTCGCCAGTGGTGTGTCGGTTTCCCAGAACATACTATAATGCGACTGTTGTGCCTATGTGTATGGTTATTTGTGTGTGTGTGTCTGTGTGTCTGTGTGTGTCTGTGTGTGTGTGTGTGTCTGTGTGTGTGTGTGTGCACGCGAGTGCATGCGTGTGTGCGCACATAACTATTATGTGTATGTGATCATGTCGGTCTGTGTAAGTATGTGGATGTGTCTTGTGTGCGTGGGTGCATGTATGCGGAACTGCAACTAGGACTTCTCTGTTGACGGGACGCCGCCCTGACACTACTCATGTCTGGCTAATCGACAATGATGAGTACTGGAGGAATCAGGTCAACGCAACCACCATTCCACAGTATTTCAAGGAGAATGGCGTAAGTGGTCAAATGCCTTTGCGGATAAACTCATATCTTTCTTATCAGGACGTCCAAGTAAATGATACCAGCACACCGTCGATGAGGTCTGGTTCATTGTTTGAAACTTCTGAGCAATGCCTAGACCAGGACTGCGGGGATAAGCGACATCTGTCATCGAGGCATGCTCCAGAGAAAGGAGCAGGCTAGCAACAAATCGTTCACATGACGTTACTCTTGTGCCTAGAGCCGACGTCATGTGCCTCAATGTTTCCCCCTTCATTTTAGTGAATGCCTTCATTGGCTTACTTACGGACCGAATTGAAGGAACACATATCGGTAAAGTCTTCCGTTCCACAGGACACCAGGGTATGACCAATGCACTGAATGCACTGGCACGTGCAAGAAGCCGCCTCACAGATCAAGGGAGGTGCTCCAGTCTGCTGGTTGCATTAAGTCCTGTGGCGTGCCCAGAGCTTTGCGTTTTTCTTCGTTACAGTTGCTACTGGAGAAATGCAGTCAGGTGGTGTCTGGGTCACCAGGACTGCTCCTTGTGGGAGCAAATCTTCTGCAGGAGGTGTGATGAATACGCTGCTCTTCTTGGACATTTTCCATTTGTGATAGTGGTACTCTGATGTTTTCACAGTTGAATAAGCCTCTTATACGGCCGATCACAGAATATGATATCACTGGCCTGACACGGCAACTAAGGAAAAAGAAAAAGAAAACAAACAAACAAATTTAAAGAAAAAGAAAATGAAACCTTTTTCCGGGCACGTCTGGGTACCAGTCACCATTTTTGACCAGTCTAGAGTCTCAAGTGATTATTATTGGCTTTTCAAAAACAAAGTTCCCTGAAAAACTATTGTTTGGCATAAAAATGTTTACTTGCATACAGCTAGTTTGTATGTTCTGTGATTCTTTGATTAGAGAGTTTTACTGTAAAAGGAAAACCACGCTAGGAATTGTTTGTACAAGACCTGGCAAGTGCTGGGGAAACTCGAGCTAGTCATGCTGAACCATAACAGCGGTTGCTTTCAGGTCTTTGTGAAGTTCTGTGGGTCAGAGATTCCGTTGAACTTAATACACCGCCACATCCTTTATTTTTTTTGTGAAAGTACCGTATATTCTGGATTATACGCGGCACCTTAGTCACTAGTAATTCGCCCAAAACGTTCGGTGCGCATTACACTACAATAGTCAAATTAATGGTGATAAACAGGGTACATGCCTGTGTTTGTTGACAAAAATCCAAGTGCCACTTATGCTCCAGTACGGCTTTTACTCCAGAAAATACTGTGACCGAATATCATGTGTTTTTCTGTCGTGCCTGCCTTCTCCTGTTCTGCACTCAGTACATCTCGATTGGGATGGGCAAGATATTTCATCCGGGCGCACCGAGTGGCAATGATGACGTAGCACACTCCTGGAGTCCCGAAGGCCTGCCATATTACCACTGTAAGTCACTCACTCATGGTTGTTACCTTCCTCACTCAGTGACCAAAGCTGAATAATGGCACCGTCGGGACGTAGCAGCTGCGAGACTTGCTGCAAGCTGAGTGCAAGTGAAGTTGCCGCACTTTTTTCTTCTTCTTTTTCACGGTTCGCGTGAGACTCGGTTTCTCTATATAGATGCCGAGTTTTCCGCATCCGTAGGAACGCCCCCACCCTTCAAGAATCAAGGCGCAGATGCAGCTCCGCACTGATTTAGAAAATGAAATTTTTCCTGATATGCTTTATACAGCTAATACATGGTAGATGCCTGTATTTCGGGACAAATACACCGAGTTAGGCTTGTGCTCTGGTAAGGCTTATACTCCAGACGGTGTGATTACTGTGTGCTTCCACGTATCAACCTAGTTTTAGTTTGCATACGGACACTATGGCAAGAGCACTTTATATTGATCTGCTCCACGTGATTTTCCATCTCAATCCCTCAAGCCTTTGAACGTGCCACTCTAGACCACAGTTTCCTAATTCTGCAGCCAGAGTAAGCAGGCTCCTAACCGGACTGAACTTATTTTGGGCCTTTCCCAGGAAATCTTCACAATGGTTGGGTACTGTTCCGTGTGCACGCCTATTCTTGCATGTTGCGACTGGGATAAGTGATGTTCATAATCATCTGTCTACCTGTATGCTTTTCGTGCATTTCTGCAGCTCCCGTGGAGCATCAGTATGGACCGAACAATCATACACGTAAGAGTCGAGTAGTGGGTTCTATAAGTTGCCATGGCGACAATTTCTTAAAGGGGAAGTTAAGGCAAAAATTAAAATTTCACCAGTTGTAGTCTTCGGGGTGCTGAGTCGAATGGTCTTGGTCCGAGAAAGCTGAGACGCTCCCTTCCTACTTGAATCCCAATCGAACTCGCACACTTCCACCGAAACTGGGTGATTGCGCCCTACTAGATGGGGATTTGTATGCAAAATGTCACTAAAAGCGCCATTTCGTTCTTATAAAAGCACGGATGACCGCGATTGGCCCATATGTTGTAGTCTTTTGGACGCTGAGTCGATTGGTTTTGGTCCGAAAAGGCTGCGATGCAGCGTTCCTCCTTTATTCCCAATCGAACATGGTTGAACAAGCGGTCACGTGCTCCTGCGTACACCAGTCACCTGGTCACCGCGCCTGCAGGGTACAACTTACTAGCCTGTTTGACCTTTTTTGGGTGTAGTCCTGTCACTCGAGTTGAACTCGAGTTGAACCTTGGTGTGAAAGTTGTCGCCTGCTGGCGTGGTGACCAGGTGATTTTGGCACCCAGGAGAACGTGACCGCTTGTTCAACCATGTTCGATTGGGAATAAAGGAGGAACGCTGCATCGCAGCCTTTTCGGACCAAAACCAATCGACTCAGCGTCCAAAAGACTACAACATATGGGCCAATCGCGGTCATCCGTGCTTTTATAAGAACGAAATGGCGCTTTTAGTGACATTTTGCATACAAATCCCCATCTAGTAGGGCGCAGTCACCCAGTTTCGGTGGAAGTGCGCGAGTTCGATTGGGATTAAAGTAGGAAGGGAGCGTCTCAGCTTTCTCGGACCAAGACCATTCGACTCAGCACCCCGAAGACTACAACTGGTGAAATTTAAATTTTTGCAAATCGCAACTTTCGCAACTTTCTTCATTTTTGCGAACTATTTCGCAACTTTTCCGCAACCTTGGCGCAATTGATTCCATGACATGGGGTCAAAAGGTCAAGTCACCTACTCACCTACTACATATCGGACAAATGCATCCTCGTACTCGCTCATTTCTCGCCTGCCTTCAGACTGATTTCAGAGAAACAGTAGATCAACGGTAGTTATGATAATGTGCATTCCCTTTCCCTTGCACTGGAAAGATGTAGATCACAGCAGGAAGGGGTGTAGATCTATGAGTTTGCTGTCGCTGCACTTGTGCTATTTCTGCTCCCTATTTGTAGGTTTTTGCACAAGAACTCTCCAATTTTAGGTTGCCATATTAGCAACCTTTGAGCTTTTTCTGCAAATATGGATGCGATTTCAGCAACTAGCACTTGTTTTGGCACGGTTGCGAAAAGCATAAGGTGCGACAAATTATGGCATCTTTGGGAAAGGGCTACTTGAGAAAAGCAGCTTTAAATTCCTCAAGCATCTGATACCGAAATACTTTTTATGAAAAATCGCCTAAATGCCGATCATGAAACATTACAAGTATTAGAATATTTGTAACGTGTCATGATCGGCATTTAAGCGATTTTGCATAAATGTGTGAAGTTTCGGATAATGGCCCGAGGCAGGGACAGTTCTGGCGGTGATAGTCTTCATCCAGACGGGAAAACCAAACCCTAACACATCAGCCTCTTTTCCTTTTCATCCCGTCACCCAAATGGAAGATCAGGTAGTTGTTGTGCCTTGTGAAGGAATCCATGTTAGCTTGTTCTTGTTTGAACCGATGTAGGGCTGAAGGCAGGCTTCATCTAGAATCACAGGTGTGGAATTGTGTTTTTGTTCCGCACAGAGTCAGGAATTTTGCTGCTCCGCTAAACCTAACCAATGGGATCGATGCTGCCCAACAGCTAACCTTACACTGTCTGTATCGTGTGCACTATCCCTGTTTCTTAGGTATGTGGTGGGCGTTTGAAGGGTTTGAGGACAACCAGCTACCGGACGGTCAGATTGCTGACAATGCACTCAACGTTCTCGAGCAGTTGAGGACGAATGAGACCGAGCATGGAGAGGAACGACCATTCTTTCTAGCTGTTGGCTTTCACAAACCAGTAAGTGGTGTGGTGGGTGGGGGGGGGGGGGGGAGGGGAGAGGGAGGGTTTTTTATGAGTGGAGGGGGGGGGGGACGCGTCTATAATAATTATGTGTGTGTGTGCGCACCTCTGTGTGTGTTTAGGCGTGTTTCGTTAAGACTCTTGTCTGCTGTCATTGCGATAAGATAAAACTGGTTGCTGTATATCCAGCGCATTTTTAGATTTTGTGTACTGGCGACGAGCTCACATGGTGATGGTGGTGTGTGTGTGTGTGTGTTTGTGTATGCGTTCATCAGTTTTTTGGATTACACAATCACATGTATCTGGTGATAGTTTTGATCGGTTTCATTCAGATTCAAATCCGCTATCACCAGTTAAAATTTACCCTTTCAGCGCCAAGGGGGTCAGAAAAATTCAATTTTTTCTGATTTGAGCCGAACTCCAATTTTTCATAGCTCAGCTGTATATCCACGGATCTTTACAAACGATGGTTTCTGGAAAGATATAATGGCCAGGCAGACAGCTGTGAGCAGAAAATGCAGCGAAAATAGTCTTCCTCGCGAGGGCGCCTGAGCGAAGTCCGTTTTCTGCATTTTCGTAGCATCTGCACTTTCTCACGCGCGCGATCGATCGCAGTGCAGTCATCTTGCGACGCACGAAATTCAGACAAAGTTGGCCCGAAAGCCACTGAAAATCTCGATGTTTTGATACTCAATACGCATGGGTTGCCGCGAAAGAAATAGAGAAACCCCCGATGCGCATACGTCATGTTTTCTACGCGCGACAATTGTTTGTCCGAGCGCGCGCACTTCAGGCTTCGCCCTGACGATATCTATCCCCACAGACACAAAGCGATGTGATAAGTCGATAGCCAAGGTCTTCCTGAATACGTAGAGTGGTCGTTTGTAACTCTCCTGTGTGTAGAAGTGGAGATACGAATTTATTTGTACACCCATACCCATTCTGGGCGACTAAAGTCGCCCGTGGCACTGAGAGGGTTAAGGGAGAATCTGGTGGTGCCAGCAATGCAGATTTGTACGCGTCTCTTGCGACAAGCGCATACGTAGTAGATGGTACATGGAAAATGTGTAAGGGCGTGTATGTGTATATGTGTATGTGTGTATGTTCTTCTTCATAGCATGTGCCGTTCTATGCGCCAAAGAAGTACTTCGACATGTATCCACCTCAGCCAAAAATCAGCTTACCCGTGAACCCAAACCCTCCCAGCAATCTGCCGTACGTTGCTTGGACAACTTGGGCTTCGTTGTTCAACTGGGACGACATACAGGCTATGTTCAAGGGCCGAGAGGATTGCATCACAAACTACACAATCGCCTACAAAGAGGAGTGCCGTATGCCGAACGATGATATACAGGGTATGCGTAGAGGGTAAGTCCTGACGTGCGTGTGATCCCTGTCCAGGGACTTTCCCTACAACTGTGGAAAAGGTGAACCGAATGACTAGCCGGACAGTCCCCGCCCCCCCCCCCCCCCATCCCTGCCCATCAAACCTTTGGTATGTTAAATCGAAAATGCCATGGCCACTCTCCAGGCAGCTCCAAACAGTCAGATATGACATGTAAGGTTGTAACCGCCAATCAATGTGTGTATATGTCTGTGTGGGTGGTTGTTTTTGGGTGTCTGTGAGAGTGTGCATGAAAATATACGTGCGTGTGGGAGGTGTGTGGGTGGATGGGGTGTACGTTTGTACGTATGCATGCGTGAGTATACATTTCATGCTAGCGTTTGAGCCCGTTTGTATGTCGACAGGTTACTAAGTTCATAAAGTCCTTCGGCTAGCAGCTTTTTGTGAAGCTTGAGGTGGTTCAAGCTGTATCCATTTACATTGCAAGTTGGCTTTCGTAGAACCCCGTGGCGCCACCCACTGGGTGCATCATTTGGACACTAACAATGCTGCTCAGTTGAATCTGATAACATGACATTGTGGCAAATTTGTGCCCGGCACGCAGGTCATATCCCTGAATTATCAAGTCTTGGACTGCAAAGCGCCCCAGTGCATAGTTTTCTTACACGATCAAACTTCCTGCAGCTGCACTGCATATTTCACAGCCGGGGCAATTCAGTTGATGATTTGATTGTATTGACAAGAGTTTGCAGCAACCTTGCCTTGAAGATGGTTTAGGGTGTTCTTTAGTGTGATTCTGTAGTTTAGGTTACGGTGTTGTGCATGATTTGATGTTATGACCTGGATGCCCTGTTGATCTGGCATTGGCTTTGTTCCTACAGATACTATGCAGCCATGACATACACCGATGCACAAGTCGGGAAAGTGATGTCGAAGCTGACCGAGCTTGGCTATGCTGATGACACTATTGTTGTGCTGTGGGGTGATCATGGCTGGCAACTGGTGCGTACCGTGTTTGAAACCCTATACAGCCAACTTTGTGAATAACGATCCTAGATTGTGCTTGAAAACATTGTCTCTCTCGCGAGTTGTCGTTATTTGTGAGGTTGAACGTATTCTGTGAATTGTTCACTTAGGGTTGAAGATTGTGTTGTTCGCCTTGAGTTTGCTGTTATACCCAATGTCGTAATCCAGGAGCAAGGGGGGGGGGGGGGGCATGACTGAACTTCAACCTGCATGGTAATATCCTGTTCAACACAGTGAAGCTAACTTAAGGCGAACGCTTAACCGACAAGATGTGGTCATTGTGTACAGGGGTTCTCTTAGATACACCCATCTGACTGGAATAAGAAAAGAACCGTTGGTCTTAGTTGCCCTCGTCCACTGGGGCAGACAGTTTCCTTGACATGTTTTACTGTCTTTCTCGGAACATCGCATGTCCAGTTTTGATATCTGTCTTCAGTCAAACCAGTCGAGGAAACCATGTCTTCCAGACAAGTACATGTTCGGTATGACCATAATTGTAGTCCAGATTACCACGTGCTGTAGACCACCGTGTGTTCCATGGCATGTTCAACCATGCAAAGGACAGTCTTTCCTTTTCGTATTGGTATGTGTGTGTGTGTATATGTGTGTGTATGTCTCTCTCTGTCTCTGTCTCTGTGTGTGTGTGTGTCTCTCTCTCTTTCTGTGTGGATGTGCGTGTTTGTGTGTGCGTGCGTGTATGTGTGTGTGTACGCGTGTCTGTGTTTGTGTGTGCGTGTGTGTGTGTGTTTTCATGCAGGGTGAACATGGAGAGTTTGGCAAGTTTACGGTGGGCTCTGATCACAAGTTTGACTTGTTCTTTTTCCTGTTAGGACTCTCTCGCCAACTGGATGCTTTGCAATAATTCTTAACTCGCAGCTACTGCACGTCTGCAATTTTTTGGCCCATTCAAATTTCGGCCTCCCAGGGCTGAAACCCATTTCGGCCGCATCAAAAATTAGGGCTCCTCTGGGACTGTTGGTTGCCCTCTCAGAGTGGTTGCCTTGACACTTTAACTGTGGTGGTGAAGCAGTGTTGTCAGATATATTCAAAACCTGCCTGCGCTGTCACCCGTATCCTACTGTTTGGGAGTGTGATTTCATTTTTTTTCAATGTACATATCGCATGGATATACATTGATACCTGTCTAAGACGACTGCTCAAGGGACCTTCAAAACGTGGTCCCTGTTAACCAGCTGTCCCCTTATCCAGGGTCTTTTGACTGGAAATAGCATCCCTTGGTCCTGACTTTAGTAGTCTTCTAAGGCAGGTGGTCACCTTATCAGAGTGGTCACCTTGACAGATTCTCCTGTATGAAATCGTCTTACTTCTTCCGTTAACAAAAACTTCGTGATGGATTTTTGAGGGGCTGATTTGGGCACAAACTGCCGTGAAATGAGTCACAATCACTTTCTTGGCCTTCCCTGGCATGCCATGAAAGAGGTACGATGCAAGGAAAGCAACCTTTCACAACAAGCCGAGCAGAATCGATGGTTGCGCTGTGGAAACATAGGTGATGACAGTCATGGCGAGCGAAACTGAAATACTACTTCTCCAAGGGGATATTGCGCTGCTTGGCCTCTCTACCATTTTAGCACTAAGTAAGTTGGAGAGTGATAGAGAGCGATAAAACGGACCAGCGAGCCCACACAATGAGCGAGTGAACAAGGAGCTGCTTCGATCAATGAAAATAATTCTGAACTCAAGTTCTTGTTAGACCTGCGCAAAGCCCAGATTCGAATGCTGATCACCATGCATTCTTTCAGAAGTCTGTAGTCTGATGCGAGTCTCGGGGCTAAAGAAAGTCAACTGGACTTGCTAGCCGCTGCCGTTCAGTGCTGGCAGGGGTATCCGTTAGAGAAAATGGTATCAGTTTGGCTGTGCCTTTACTCCTCGTTTCGCGTAACCAGGGAGTCGTAAAATATTTTTCACGACTCCCTGGTGGAAACGAGTAATCGCCAACGCGGCGGATCACGCAGCTTGAAAGCCAACTTATTTGAACGACGGCGACATCAAGGTCAGCGAAGTGTGATCAAAGAAGCCGAGGCAAGGCTGAAACAAGCTGAACAACGACTCGAGAGAGATGACGACTCGCGTGCAGCAGATGACGACAGCGACGCAGGTCAAAAATGAGTCGAGCGAAAGCGACACAAACTAAACTCTCTGCTCATTCCGCCAACAGTTTCTCTTGTAAAGACGCTGTATATAGGCTGAATCACCTTCGTCCAGGGATTTGGAGTTGATAAAAACTGTTCCCGACCTGTCCTAAGTGTTATCATATCCATCAAAATCCATCATGAAGTTTTTGTTAACCCTTTCAGCCCTGACCGGAAAATCACCTCCCACTGGGCCAAAAATGGCAATTTTTGAAAATGCATATTCTGGTCCAAAATTGATTGGAGATGTTGGGTATGGACATATGCACTGTGAATCCAAAGACATTTTGTAGGATTTCATTGTACGAGACTCATAATACCATATTTAGATATGCGACTTTCGGCGATTTTTCCTCGAAATTCATTCAATTTAGGCAATTGACGACAAAGATCAGACAAGCAATGGCAAGCAGTGCTATAACTGGTCAGTGTTGACTTCAGAATGGAGAAATGTCATATAACATGCTTAATATGATCCTGGTGTTCTACGGCAACCTAGACTAGAGTACAGCAACTCGTTTTATACGGCGCTTGCATCATATGCGACTTCGCGATCCAGAATGGGTCTTTCTTTTTCTTGGGCGCCTCGTAAAGCTTGAATCCTCCAGCAGCCCTACCTACTTCAAGACAAAACCATATGATGGACAGTGAGGATGCCGAGTAACTGGAGTAGCAACCACAGCAACTGCATCAGCTATAATAGCAGCCGGTGCAGTGGCAGCGGTTGCCTCACTGTGCTCGGCACATCCCAGGGTGATTCATCTCTGGCCGCACGCGTATGTACGTACGCGGCACAGGTAAAGTCATATTGATGGAGAATGCAATGCTGCTCATTCTCTGATTTAGACACTCACTGGCAAGACAATCCAGCTATCAAAATAGTCTGAAGCATTCCCTAAACAGCCGAGTGCATACTGCGTACCGGTGTACGTACGCCGCATGAAAATTCAAGAAACAATCGGCTGCGCAATTTCTGATAGTGGTTCAAAATTGCACAATTGTTGACTATTCTGGATTATTCTGGATTCATATTAGATAGCAATCTCCATCTTGTAGGTGCCTGGCTCTGTACTCAACATACAATATTTACATGTATGCACATCTCTATTGTGATCTGCATGCATGTCTGACCAGTACACTTGACTTCAAATTCAAATATTTTCAAAAATCTGACCTTCAAATTTGATCGCAGTTTACTTGAGGAACTTCAGCAAACGGGCTCACGACAGATAGCTCCTGCTCAGAACACCATGCCTAGGTGTCAGAGACTTCAGCATCGCTTTCCAAATCTCTTTGGTCTCCAGCATCCCCTGCGTCCGAGTCAGCTGCGATCTTTTTGAATAGCAGCAAATTCGTAATCCTCAGAAAACGACTCCGACACAATTTCGCTGTCTCCAGAATCATCCTCAGAGTCATTACCCGCCTCACACTGCTTCACAGGACTCCTTCCATCGACACAGAGTAGTTGAGCTACTTACCTTGCCGAGAAACAGCAGGGCAAGATGACGAAAACGAACTTTGAGCAAAACAATTTATTTGAACGATATGCCAAAAATACGCACTCCAAACTCGATGCTCGCGGCTGTTCTGCTGTGCAGACTGGCCACATACGCTGCGTACACGTCGATCAGGGTCTTCAGCCCACTGAGGAACAGTTCCAGGCCCCACTGATGTTGAGGCATCAGTACAAACGCGACGTACACTGAGGACGTATATATACGTCGTCAGTGGGGCAGGTGCACACCTCATGACGTATATATACGTCGACAGTGGTGAAAGGGTTAACGGAGGAAGTAGTTATGTTCCGACGGGTATGTTCTCACCAATCCATGCAAGTAGATGGATCAAGTAGAACTGATGCGGTGTGAATTCCTCTAGTACCCATGTGCCCAGCAGGGATTAATGCCTTCCAGTAGGTTTTCCTGAGTGCAAAGCTCAGGGTTCTTCTCGTGTCCTCTAGACGGCGACCATGAATTAGTTGGTTGTCAGTTAGTTGACGGAAAGTGCGAGCTCTAGTTTTCAGAGCAGCCACCATCATCTCTGCAGATATGACATCATAGGTTGAAAGAAATATATTCGAATAACCGACAAGGAGACAAGGAGACAACAGTCGTAAAATAGCGATAAAAACAACTGTTTATGAGTGCACAATTAGCTTTATTTATCGCTTTAGAAACATTTTTGTTCAGTTTTTCTCATAGGCTGTTCCCTCTTGCTTTTTTCTCTTTTGTATCTTTTTTCGGCAGAACTTTGAGGATGCCACACGAGTTCCGTTTTTGCTGCACGTACCCGGGGTAACGGAGAGCGGTATGCATAGCGATGCACTGGTGGAACTGATTGACATCTACCCGACTTTGACGGATCTTGCCGGATTGCCGCAGCCTGAATTGTGTCCTACACATTCGCATGTAAGATACAATGTTTCGTTTGTTTTTGCATGTGGGGGAAGGGGGTGTGGGATGCTCGAATGTGTGTGTGTGGGTGCGGGCGTGGTTGGGTGTGTTTATGTGTCCATCTGTGTGAGTGTGTGTATGCGTACATTTGCTTGAAGTGATGCGCTCAGTGCTCCTTTTTTGGCCTTTCCCATATTAGTATGCAACCATGGTGTTTACTCTTCGCAACGTGCACTCAAAACCTTTTAAAAGCAAGTGCCAGCAGGTAAAGTGACGGCCCATAAATAAATTCGTGCTAGCAACAAGTTAAATCTCTCCCTTTCCTGCAATCAACTGCAGCCCAAATATTGCACTGATGAATGTGCTTGATTCAGCATGGACAGCAACAACATCTCCCCACTAGCAGCAAGTCAATTGAAAAGGTTTGTTTATGCTGCGAAGTTTCACCCGCCCGAACATTGTTGCTAATTCGACCAATGAAATACATACCGACCAGCAAGTCTGCTTGAATATCATATCTTGTAATACTTTTCGGATTCAACGCACTGCTTCTTAGCATTTCCTCAACCACTACTCGGAGCATTTATATCTTATTTTCCTTTGCTGCAGAACATCTCCGTGTGTGTGGAGGGAATCAGTGCAGCACCGTTGTTGAAAGATCCCAAGCAGCAGTGGAAGAAGGTTAGATATCCTATTTGACTTGTGCACTTTTATCACCTCCTTTACATTCAACATTTCTCGGTGATAATGTGCGAAATAGTGGTAGCGACTAGTGTGAATGAAGACATTTTTGTAGGGTATCAATCTGCTCTGAAAGCGTGTAAACCTTGCGTGTCTAGAATGTAGGTGCTTTTGTGCTTATGCTTCCTCGTACGTACGAGCATACTGATGCTTGTGTTGATGTAGTTGTCTGAGAGCATGTGGGTGAACACCCTGACCGGTGTGTGTGTGTGAGTGAGTGAGTTTGTGTGTATGTATGTGTGTGTGTGTGTGTGTGTGTGCGCTTGGTACAGTAGAGGTTGGTTGCATTTTTGAGTGCTCTGACCTCAAGTCGTTTGTGTCACGTAACACAGCCCTGTCCGTGTGGTGTAGACCAGGGCAGGGCTGTGGTGACCTCCGCCAGTGGCCTTGCAAGCTACTGCGGAGTTGTTGTTGCGCACTCACTGCACAAGTAGTCGGAAAGTTCATTTTGAGAATTTCGAAAATTTGAATTTGGAATGGTGAGGAGGACGACGACGAAGTCCAACCAGACAGAGAGGAGAAAGGAAGGAAGTGGTGGTGGTGGACGTGGAGCTGCTCTCGCTTTCGCGACGTGGAATGTTCGTTCCCTTGTCGAGGACTCTGGAGACGAGCGGATCTGCAGAAAGCGGCAAAATAATAATTTGTCGATCGATCGTAAATTGGATTTCTTGGTCGCGGAGCTTCTGAGATATGTTGCTATCGCTGCGATCCAAGAGACAAAGTGGTTCGAGTCCGATGTCTGGAGAGCTGATGGATATACGTTCTTGCACTCAGGTCGTCGTCTACCAAATGGCGATGGTCCTGCGCGTAGGAACGAAGGTGTTGGAATTATGCTGAACCCAGGGATGACGGAAGCTTGGAGACGTGCTGGTGAGCAGTGGACCGCCGTAAGTTCGAGATTGGTTGTGGCCCGTCTCAAGCTCGCGGAGGCGGGGGAACTTCGAGTGCATGGCGAATGGCAGAGAAGGAATGATTTGTATGTGACAGTTGTGAGTGCGTACGCACCAACCAGTAAAGCTACTGCACCCGTCAAAGATCATTTCTTCACAGATTTGCAGAGGGTGGTCGATGGTGTGCCAGCCAGTGATGTTCTGTTGCTGCTTGGTGACTTCAATGCTAGAGTTGGCAGCAGCAATGACGCAGGAGACGAATGGAGGGCTGTGTTGGGGAGATACGGTCACGGTGCGCGGAATGATGCTGGTGAGCGGCTTCTGATGTGGTGTGCTACCAACGGGCTGTCTGTAATGAACACCCATTTCCAGAAACCTGCGTCGAGGCGTGGGACCTGGATGCACCCAGCTACGAAGCAAACCCATCTCATAGATTTTATCATCATGAGGCAGCCACACCGTCGCTTTTGTCTTGATGTCAGCGTAATGCGAGGTGCCAACTGTTGGACAGACCACCACATGGTTCGCAGCAGGATTCTACTTGATCGTCCATTGTGCCGCAGGCCTCGCCCTGTGCCGAAACCCGCACCTGTTGCTGTCGGAAAGCTGGGTGACCCGGCCGTTCGCAAGAGCTTTGCTGAACAAATTTCAGACAAGCTCCCTGATACTGCTGATGCGGACACTGCAGCTGACCAATGGCAAGCAGTGAAGGATATAATGTGCAGTACAGCAGAGGATGTCCTGGGACCACGGCAACGCAGGCAACCCGACTGGTTTAAGGCGAGTGAGACTGTGCTTCTTCCGCTGATTGATATCAAGAATTCCGCTGGAGATGTCATGTTGCAGAAGAACACCGCGTCTTCACGCAAGAACTTTCGTCAGACACAACGTGAGGTGGAGAAGGCTGTAAGGAGTGCCAAGGAAACTTGGATTGAAGACATCGCATCCCAAGCTGAAAATGCTGCTAACAATTGTTCTGTTCGTTGGGCTGCAGTCCGCAAGTTGCAGACGCTCCATCAAGGCCGCCGTCCAATGCAGCCGTCTGCTGTGTATTTGGAAGATGGCACGTTGAGTGATGGACCCGAGGCTGTCAGTGGAAGATGGCTGCAGCACTTTCAGGGTGTCCTGAACGTTGAGAGTGAGTTTGACGCAGCTGTGGTCGAGATGATGGCGGATCGCCCTGTTATTCCTGAGCTGGACCAGCCACCCACTGTTGCTGAGCTGGAGGCTGCACTGCGGACCATGAAAGCGGGTAAAGCTGGCGGTCAGTCGGGCATTCTACCGGACATGGTCTTACATGGTGGCAAAGACCTACACAGTCGCATCCTGACCATCATGCGTAAATCCTGGCTCGAAGGCACTGTAGTCGATGATTGGCGTGATGCAGTGGTTGTGCCCATCCCCAAGAAGGGAGATCTACACCACTGTGATAACTGGCGCGGCATCAGTCTGTTGGACGTTGTCGGCAAGCTGCTTGCCCGTATTCTGCAGGACCGCCTCAAAGCTATCGCTGAAAATGTCTTGCCAGACTCTCAGTGCGGCTTCAGAAAGGGACGTGGCTGCGTCGATATGGTGTACGTCGCACGGCAGTTGATGGAGAAGACGTTGGAGCATGATTCAGATGCATATGTCCTGTTCGTCGATCTGAGAAAGGCGTATGACAGTATCCCGCGTGCAGCGCTGTGGCAGGTTCTCCAAAAGCTTGGTGTTCCGCCGGCAATGCTCCGCATCATTCAGTCACTCCACAACGGCATGACTGCTTCTGTTCCCGTGGATGGCAAGCTGACTGACCCGATAACTGTGCGGAATGGATTGCGTCAGGGCTGCACTCTCGCACCAATGCTCTTCAATTTGTACTTCTCTGCCGTCGTTTCCAGTTGGAGGTCCAGTTGTCCGGACGCTGGCATATCCTTTCGATATAAAGTCGGGAGGAAGCTAGTAGGTGACCGAACGGCGAAGGGCAAGCTTCTGTCATCAACGGTCACAGAATCCCAGTTTGCTGACGACGCTGCACTCTACGCAACATCTCGGCCTGCCTTCGAAGCGATGACTTCCAGCTTCATCACATGCGCAAGCAGCTGGGGCCTGACGGTCAGTGTGAGAAAGACCAAGGGTATGGCTGTGGGTGAGTCTGCTGATCGCCGTGACGTTGTTGTTGGAGCAGACACGATTGAGGTGGTGGACCAATTCACCTACCTTGGCAGTGTGCTCTCCTCGGATGGTCTTGCCTGTGCTGATGTCCGCTCTCGCCTTGCGAAAGCCTCAGCTGTGTTCGGAGCCCTCAAAGCTCCTGTCTTTGATAACCAGACCCTGTCGCTTCGCAGCAAGAGGCGTGTCTATGAGGCTGTCGTCCTCACGACCCTCTTGTATGGTGCGGAGACGTGGACCACCAAGGGAGGCCACCTCCAGAAGCTAAACACGTTTCACCATCAGTGTGTTCGGTCCATTGTGGGTATCGGCCGTCGTCAACAGTGGGATGATCGGATCTCAACGGCCACATTAGCAGCTACATTCAGTGTTGACCCTGATATCACCCGCATCATCCGTCGCCACCGGCTTCGTTGGCTGGGTCACGTCGGCAGGATGGACGACTCACGCGCACCGAAGCAATTGCTGTTCGGCGAGCTGCCTGCCCCCCGTCCTCGTCACGGCCCGAAGAAGAGGTGGCGAGATGTGGTATCGACTGACCTGGCGGACCTCGGCGTGACCACCTGGCTTGAGAGTTGCCAAGATCGTCCCGGCTGGAGACGAGTTGCGAGTAGCACCCCACCGCCACGGCCCGCTCCTGATCCTCTTCTATGTGTCTGTGGACGCCCATTTCGTCGACCAGGAGACCTGAAACGACATGCCAAGTTCTGCGCTCGTGTTCTCACTTGAACTTTCCGACATTCGCTATCATTGCGTACGCAATGGGCAAGATCAAGGTCAAGGTCAAGGTGTGTGTGTGTGGGTGTGGGTGTGGGTGTGGGTGTGGGTGTGCATGTGTGTGTGTGTGTGTGTGTGTGTGTGTGTGTGTGTGTGTGTGTGCGTGTGTGTATGTGTGTGTGTGTTTGTGTGTGTGCGCGTGTGTATGTATAAATCTTTCGCTTTGGCTCAGCCACGCGGCAAAGATGGCCTTGTCACCCACCCCCCACACCCTCCCAGAGAGAGTGCACTTTGCGGACCTGCCACAGACCCACCCACCTCGTGGCCCGAAGTGGCGTTGGAGGGCTGTTGTGCAGCAGGATTTCCATGCAAGAGACCCACCTGAGGAGCACTGGTGCGACCTTGCACAGGACAGTGCGGAATAGAGGCAGTTGCACGAGGCCAATGCGGACGGCGGTGAAAGAATGTCGCTGCGTATGCGGTCGTGTCTTCTCCTGCCCTGTAGATTTGAAGAGACATTCCCGTTTCTGCTCTGTCTGACTCCGCTCTCTTCATGATTGTGGACGGGTGTTCAAGGTTCAAGATATGTGTGTGTGTGTGTGTGTGTGTGTGTGTGTGTGTGTGTGTGTGTGTGTGTGTGTGTGTGTGTGAGGTTGCGTGTGTGTGAGGTTGCGTGTGTGTGAGGTTGCGTGTGTGTGTCCATTTCTATCTGTGCTTCCATGTTCATCACAGGGTGCCTTCTCGCAGTACGCCCGGCCTAACAGTGGAATTTTCTACATTCCCGATCACAAGTACCCGAATCCACCCAGGGAGTCCGTCATGGGCTATTCTATACGAACTGACAAGGTATGTGGCATGGGGAAAGGGGAAGGAGGAATTGGAGGTGACTGGCACTATACGCACGTCATTCTCTCCTACCAATGCGCTGATTATCTGCTGATCCCGAGATCACTGGCCGGGCTATGATAAGCCTATCATCTGTACACTATCCCCCCCCCCCCCGCACACACACATACCCTTGTTTGGTGCCTGGAGCACCCGCTTCGCGGCCAGTTGGTGTTGTCAAGTGAAGTAATAAAACCTTAAATCTTTCCTGCCCGCCGCGGTTGTCCGATTGCAGAGTGCAAAGACTTACAATTCGGACCAGCCGCAATCAGTAAATTAATGTCTGCAGTACCCTGCAGTGGTAAAAGGGTTAATTAAGATGGAGCACTCAGAGTGGGAGCCTGGGGAGTGTCTCACTTCCAAGAATGACACAATTGTTTCAATCGAATCTCCAGTTTACTCTGTATTGATAGTAAGCACGGTTTTCTCAGGAATGACCGGTTTCTCATCTAGGAATAGTTTGGTAATTTAGAGACACTTTCCAACTAACTTCCTCGCTATGGTGTTGTGAATGTTGGCAAGGAGCGCAGTGTGGAGGTGGACAATTTGAAATATAGTTCCAACCAATAGGAATATTTGACTGACCACTGACACTTTTCAAGAGCAGCCGTTGTACAGTTTACCATCACATGAATTTGAGTGACAGTAGACTGCTATCAGCAGAATTCGTGTCGGTGTATGGTGCCTGTGTGTGTATGTGTGTGTGTGTGTGTGTGTGTGTGTGTGTTTGTGCATGTGTTTTCACTCTGTCCCCAGTGGCGCTTCACTGAGTGGGTTCGTTTCAATCGAACGCTGGCCATCGCAAACTGGACAGATGTCTGGGGCACCGAACTGTATGATCACTCGACTCCAACGACTAATTTCAATGATGAGAATGTGAACCGTGCGTACGATAAAGGCACAGAAGGAGTGATTGCACAGCTCAAGGACATGTTAGTGGCAGGTTGGAGAGACGCCCTGCCTCCTAACTACTCGGTTGATGACTAGACTCTAGTGTCTCTGACGGTCTTTTCTACATGTTCTTTCAAGTGTGCGTGCACGTGTGCGTGCATGTATGTGTGTGTGCTTGTGTGTGTGTGTGTGTGTGTTTGTTTGTGTGTGTTTGTGTGTGCATGTGGTTGAGTGTGTGTAGCCGTGTTTCCCATTGTGAGCGTGTCTGGTGGTGTGTGGCTGGGTGTGAGTGTGTGGCCAAGCATGTGTGTATGTGTCCATGCTCATTGTGGGTATAGGATTGTGCTATTTCTCTTGCCCATCTCTTTCTATCTATCTCCGTCTCTCCTTCTCTCTCTCTCTCTCCCTCCTTCTCTCTCTCTCTCTCTCTCTCTCTCTCTCTCTCTCTCTCTCTCTCTCTCTCTCTCTCTCTCTCTCTCTCTCTCTCTCTCTCTCTCTCTCTCTCTCTCTCTCTCTCTCTCTCTCTGTCTCTCTGTCTCTCTCTCTCTCTCTCTCTCTCTCTCTCTCTCTCTCTCTCTCTCTCTCTCTCTCTCTCTCTCTCTCTCTCTCTCTCTCTCTCTCTCTCTCTCTCTCTCTCTCTCTCTCTCTCTCTCTCTCTCTCTCTCTCTCTCTCTCTCTCTCTCTCTCTCTCTCTCCTTCTCACTCTCTATTGCTAGCGTCTGTGTGTCTACTCGTCAATGGGGTTTATGTTGGTCTACTTTAAATTACTCACCTTTCCCTTAGTCACCATGTTGCAAACAAGAAAATTGGCAAACTGGTATTAATTCGCTTGGCAGAACATCCTCATGTCATGCTTCTGCTTAGTAAGATACACCCGGGAAACAGACACATGCTGCGTGTTCCTTCCGACTCAGTGACCCAATTACCGGTCATGCCTGCAGCCCTTAATGTATTTGCAACTCACACTTCAGGTTACCAGTATGCTGCAAATCCGCAGCCTGCTTGAGTGCATTGCAATGCAAGTAGCCAACATCAAGTGTTCTCAATCTGCCAACGATCCCCAGGAAGGCTTGTTGGCGTTGATATTTCTGATGCAGGTGGCGAACCACAGCCATATGGATTGGAATGGGTAGAAGGCTCAGAAACGAGAGCTAACAAACAAGTCTAAACAGGAAACATTCGCAACTTCTGTTCTGCATCTGTCGCCTTGCAAGCTGCGAAACACGCTCTTACTTCGCTTGACTGAACATTGCACGGAAGCATGCTGATTTCAAGTGGTTTGTTTATGCCGATCCCACCAAACATTATTATTTTAATATCAGTGGATATACAGACTGTATCTAAATGAAACTCGAACTCCAAATTTCTAAATTTGCTGCAGGACGGTAGCTCTACCTTGCGCGGCAATATTAATAGAAACACAGCGCCTTGAAACATGCGTTAAATTGTCAACAAAACCTGGTTAATCAACCACACACTCTCTATTCTTGTGAACCCTTTAGAGCCTAAATTATTTCAAGAGACGCATGAAATTCACAAACTCACATTTTCATCTGACTGTAATTTCGATATCCTTTGGAGTATTCCAACAATCTCGGGCTCTATGGAAAGCTCTCTCCAAGACAAACACAGCCATACCCAGTTCGCAATTGATAGAGTCGTAGGAGTAACGCCGCAGCGCGATCTGAGCGCTCCAATGCCAGACCTGCGAGCGCGGTACTAAATTCTCAGCCATTTCAACAATATCGATCGCAGAACGGTCAATTTTTTTGCAGGAGAGAGCTTCAAAATGCAGCTTGAAAATGACGTATGCCAGTCGTGCACGCGTCGCCAGCGAGTCAGGGAAAATCCCTTGCTGGCGTTTCAAATTTTACGCCGCGCGAGCCGACTCGCCCACGCGAATTTCGTTCGAGTGTCATAACTCTGCGCCATGACCTCGGATCGTCTTCGGGTTTTTTTGAGCCGACAGCTGAGGCTTTTCTGATACGATTAGACCTTTCGTTTAAAAATAGACTGCAACATTTTTAATGGTGTTTCTAGTAGGTCTTGGCTGATAATGTTCACAAATTTAGCAGACTCTGCTCGAACATCAGTTGTGTTGGCCGCAACATACAAGAGTTTGGCCGGGTTTTTCTGGAATTTGGCTCCTCTCCGTTACACACATACCACGAAAGTATTAAGCCTGCCAGAAAAGGACCAAAATCTGCCATATCTTGGGCCTTCATTATCCACCAGGGCGTGCATGGTTTCATTCCATACCGGTTTTGTATATGTTTTCACTAAACAATTAGATGCATCTGTAAGCATATTTCTTTGGCCGAATCCAACAAAGACATGCATGAGAGGGGGGGGCATTATAGCAAAGTGTGGTTTTTGTTTAAAATGAAATATAATACAGGAGAAGGATTGGCTGAGATGGGAAGGGAGGGGACACTAAAATAAGCGAAGTTGTTTCAAAATATTTCCCGCTTGAGTACAAAGTCGAATGAGAAAGTGAAGAATATGAGAACTGGGCTAGTGAAGTCATCGATAGATGTACGAGGTGGTACACTGTGATTCAACAAATTTCAATTCGATAGAACATAGTGGGAAAGCTAAGAATTCTCCGGGAGCATGGGAGATCAGATTTACAGCTAGACTTCTGACTCTTATCTGGCTACACTACAAGTAGATTGCTTACGATCAAACATCGAGGGAAATGTCAATAGGACAAAGGCGTACGTAAGAGATGAAAAGCTGATTAGCGACAGAAATAAAAGCGTGTGCAACAAAAGAGTACTTGTGATGACGTAATTCATTTATCATCAGCATACTTGTCAGCTTGATTACAGTCTTCTGCACTTGATCTGGTGATCCACGTAGTCCCTTACAACTAGGAGCTTCAGAACTTGTTATGTTGTTTGATCTACTCTGTCTGGACCGAAGTAGGAGACGACTGAACATGGGGTAAAACCAACGCTGCATGAAATAATCCGAATTTGCAGGATCAAGTTGCCTGGCTATGCTCCACAAGGATTCCAAGAATGCAACAATTTTTGGATCAAGTTCAAAAAATTCGAAAGGTGATTTCCCTGAACCTAGTGTAGCATCAGAATCATAAATTAACATTTTCCACACTGCACGAAGAATATGCGTGACACTTCGCCTTAAAGGGGCACTCCGGCTTCATTTTCGACGCCGAGTTTTCGATGCCAAGACGAAGGTAGGTGAAAGAGAAGACCCCTCGAACAAGAACGAGTCTCCAGAAGCGATCGAGTCGAGCAGGAAGACGACTTTTGAATTTCGGCCGAGCGAGCGCTGATGACGTAATGAGGGATTAGCTTGCCAGTGGAAATGCATCTGCGCACATACATTTCACCCACTTTTTTGCCAATTTTCAATCGAAGAAGAGGTTGTTTGCTATGTTCTCCCAACGCCGTGAGCGATCCCGTCTTCTATACCCTTCCAGGTACCCTGAAGGTCCTCCAGAGGAGAATTTATCTCCATCAAAGCGTTGTTGATCCGCTAAATTCGTCTCGAGACATATTCACCCAGTGCAGTGCTGATAAATGTAGAATGTTGAATCTGTGATAATTGTCGACGATGGAGAGAGAGGCTGATAGCCGCTGTCGCAGGGAGAGTGAAGCTGCTGGAAGTAACAACAGGGAGCCCGTTTGTATCACCTGAACAACCAGACTTCAAAGCAGCTTGACCAAATCGGAGGGTGCCTCGTTGCTTATCGTGAATATTACACCGACATGAACTTACTACAAGTATACTGGTGAGTTTTTATCTTGTTTTGTTCGTATGCTAGTACCCTGGCCTGGAGTTCTCGTTAGCAAATTCCTATTCCCTGGCGTTTTCTAAACATTCCGTGTAGGACTGAATACGTGATCAAGTATTCCAATTTGGGTAGATGTGGAATTTGGACATGTATTATATTTAAAAAAAAATTTCCAAATAGAGCGTTTGTAGAGAAATGGTTGCCCAAATACAACAAAATTTATTCTGCAGTTCTACAACTAACTAATACTTGTACTGAAATCCAGTCGAAGTAAAAATGATTCTTCATGACAGTTGGGGTCAATGAAATCTGATCCAGGCATAACGAATGGTGACGCCTGCCACCCCGGGAACGAATGCCCATTTGGTGGGGGATACCAAAGTACTCGAAAGTAGTGCGTGTTTCAATGTGGCATGGAAGTTTTATATGATCTCTGGTCAATGCAACATACGATAGCCATCATGAATTGCAGGCCTCGAACGCAACTCCGACCAGAATTGGCAGTTCCCTAAGTTAGATGCTTTATAATTCCATGGCCCCAGCTGTAGTTATAGAGGGTTTTTTGCACATTATTCGTATAGTCGATAGGTTTATACTGATGGCCACAAACAACGGCAGTTCAAACTTCACTGATGTGTTCATGAGCTGAGAGATTTCTCTCCACTATTTCTGTTGTGCACACAGGTTTGTCCAATATGTATTGACCGTATTGGGTATGGTACCTGCTCTGAGAAGGGAATCGCTGGAGCCACAGTCCAACTATACAGGCTTTCAAGAAACAGAGAGGAGCCATCTTTGCAAGCTGATACCTGATGTGTACCGACAGAATTCTCACAAGATAGCTTACAGACTACGCCTGGTGTATACTTCATAGTACTCCTTCGACTACTGTCTAGAATCAAGTCGACTGAAGCAAGTTCAAACATCTCTGGCTTCAAACGAGCCGTCGATTAGACAAAAAAAACATTCTCTCATATACTAGAGCACTCTGACAACTCACGACCTATTCCTAACGATTGCCACCGCTTATAAATATGTAGAGTACTGATTGGAATGTGCTCACAATCTCAACAATCCAGTGCTATAATTATTTGAACTATGTGTTCCTTCCATAAATGTTGTATCCACATATAATCCACAGTGCTGCAAAGTTTCAGAGTTCTCAGGGTATCAAACAAAATTATTTCAAATACAGTGAAATAGTTCGTGGACATTATAGCGTAACTTGTAGTTCCCTGGTCCTTTTCTTTGCTATAAATTAATCCTTTGCTCTCTAGCCACCGGCGAGTCCAACAGTGAAATTGTTAGTTCATATTTATGTGGGGGGGGGGGGGTGAACATATTTCTTATTATAAGGGATCTGCAACTGTAATACCACAGTACAGTAGATAGCAAATATGTAGAAACAGAAATGCATGTTCCCATCATTGTACATGGACGGGCGCAGCAGGCCGAAGCTATCAGCCAGAACAGGATTTACAATCGCCTAGAGATACTTGAGCTATTCCAGTATTCTCCGTGAGCTGTCCCATTCCACAATGGTTCATGCCACCATTATTTCTGGTAGTATCCATGTGCATAATTCCAAGAACATCTCGGATTCTTCAGCAATTTGTGCCACGGCAAAAGACAACGCTTGACTCGGTCACTGGGGCTGTCCAACTTCGCATCACAAATGAACTTCAATTTCTCATCTGGTTCAAGTATATGTACTGCCATGACTTGACCATGCTTCATCCACAGCTGGGCGAAGATTGTGGCGTTGAATTCCATAGCGCACCTTCTTGCTGCCATGCAGGAATATGTTGAGAGAAGTGAACATATTTTTACTAAAAAAACAACAGCCACTGAAGAGGATAACAATAGCAATAGCCTTGGGTGAATTTCCTGCAGGTACACGTTGTTGGTAGGTCTACTGGTCGGTCTCCATATCGTCAAGTTCAGAAATCACCTGTACTACACATCTTGTAGAAGGGATCCTGATCGAAAAATTTTCTGATCATAAAATTCACTAAACTGAGGGCGAGACAAATAGTCAGTACTCCCCGATTCCGTCTAGCTGCTTTGATCAAGTGATGCTAACAAGCTCCCCGTTGTTACTTCCAGGAGCTTCACTTTCCCTGCGACAGCGGCTATCAACCTTTCTGTCCATCGTCGACAATTATCACAGATTCAACATTCTACATTTGTCAGCACTGCACTGGGTGAATATGTCTCGAGACGAATTTAGCGGATCCACAACGCTTTGCTGGAGATAAATTCTCCTCTGGAGGACCTTCAGGGTACCTGGAAGGGTATAGAAGACGGGATCGCTCACGACGTTGAGAGAACATAGAAAACAACCTCCTCTTCGATTGAAAATTGGCCAAAAAGTATGTGAAATGTATGTGCGCAGGTGCACTTCCACTGGCAAGCTAATCCCTCATTACGTCATCAGCGCTCGCTCGGCCGAAATTCAAAAGTCGTCTTCCTGCTCGACTCGATCGCTTCTGGAGACTCGTTCTTGTTCGAGGGGTCTTCTCTTTCACCAACCTTCGTCTTGGCATCGAAAACTCGGCGTCGAAAATGAAGCCGGAGTGCCCCTTTAACACTGCTATGCAGTCAGCATCAACATTCCACTGCAGTGGTTGGTAGTATAGCTTCTCGGCTGCCAGCAAATCAGTTTCCCAACATGCCAGAGGTATAGGGTGATCATATACACTAAAACGCAGCTCGCCCTTGGAATTTAGGAAATCAGAGATGCGAGACATTCCTAAGATAACATGCTTGATGGGAATGAGGAAAGCAGTGAAGAGGACACCGGGGTCCATAACATTGTGGCAGCTGTCATTTTGGAATCGTGCGGGTTGTGGAGTTGGCGTAGATGAAATTTGCTTATGTGAATTTCGCAGTTCACTGTCCGCAGGACACATCGATAGAATGTTGCGAGCTATATGCTTGCAAGCATCACGAATGGTGAGATTCTGAGTTTGGAGAACTCCTTTGCATCGAAGCCTCTGCAGATATGCAAATTTCGGCTTAAGAAGAGTAAAGGCAAGATACAGAATGAATCCTTCTTTCTTCTGCTTGGCTGAAACCATCGACAGAAATGTCGTTAAACTGAGACAGACGAACTGTGTCACTAGGTTGTCATACGTACAGTGGATGTTGTTGGGATGCGCTGGGACGACGTCGCACATGTCAAACATATTTACCATTGCGTGTGACTTGCTAGAGGTCACTGCTTGTCGCACATTGTGCTCCCTCAGTGATCCTACAAGCACTGTGCTGGTACCAGCAGACACACTCGCATCATTCCTTTGCAGTGCAACACTCCAGCCCAGTACGGGCAAACCAATCATCAGCAATGACAAAAGTAACATCATTACTTTAGGTGCACAGTGGTCAACTCGCTCGTTATCAATACCTCTTCGGCTTCAGGGTTCAGAAATAACCAGGCAGCACAGTATGGAGATCAGTAATGGACAGAAAAGAGGACCAGTTTCAACATCTCTACAGATGCAATTTCTTGCGATTGGTCCATAAGTTGAGCGTGTTGCTCTTTTGACGAATGATGTTTCCCTCCCTTTGCGTAGTTTACATCGCAACTGGTTTTCACGCTAAATATGTTCCTTTGACCGGAACTTACACGAATCAACTGTCATGATGATCGTGTCCCGGCTAGAGGATTCGTAGACGAATTTGCATGACTTACGCTGTGTTGAATGATAGAACCGTTGACTGCTAGCAGACACAGAGAATGACGAACGCGCACTTCTTCTGGGACAGTGATACTGTCATACGGCATATGCCCTGTTCCTCTACGATCATCGGTTTATTCTTATGCTGATCGTCTGACATATAAATAATGGCTATTATGTGTCTCGCAAGGCTGTTAGATGTAACATGATTCGATTTCCAGTTATAGTCATAGAACCATGCAGGGACATTCCTGAGTTTCTCATCTCTGGGAATATTTCAATTATAGAGGGTAATATTCAGCACTGAACAAGGGGGGGGGGGGGTAGGTGATCATAGCAAGAAAGAGAAAGGAAGTGGATGGATTTGATTTATACTTGGATTGTACCCAAAGGTCATAAAATTTGCAGAATGGATGCCCGAGTTCCGACATGTTACGTGTGGTGTTGTTTTCAACAGCAAATGCACCGTTTCTGCTGTTCCTTAGTGCTCTGGTGTACCTTCCCGCAGCAATCAAAGGTTAAATGTACTTCAAGTCGATGCCAGCATGCATGTGTGGTTTGCACCGTTCATACGGAGGCGGTGCTAAAACAATTTTGGCGGCTTCGAGCGCATGCATTATCACTTTGCATAAATATCGACCCCTTTCATATTTCCGGCGAGACCCTCTGTCATGATTCTTCCACGCATGATTGACCAGCGTTATGCACGAGTAGATTGTGTGAAATCAGAAGATACTTTATCGGCACTGTGCAGTTCCCGTAAAATACACCTCCCAGCGTGTAACATTCGTGAGCCGTGCTAGCACAAGTCCAATCGGGGTATAACTCAGCCGCTTCTACAATGCAAGCTCGGGTTGCTAGTAACTTGCCACACCCAAAATAGATGCGTGTGATTTCTAAGAAACGGAAGGAATTTCCCACGGTAATTCGGGATTCTGCTAGATGGATAAGATACACCCAGGAAACGCACGCATGATGATCATTCCTTCCGAATTAGTCACCCAAATATCAGTCGTCCCTGAATGTAGATACAACTCCCACGTAAGGTTATTAATATGATCCCATTGCGCAGAGAACCAGGCAGGCACAGTGGGTTGGTCAAAGACCATGATTGAGATACGAGAGGTACCTGGTTTAAGTCCAGCCTGGGAGCGGTTTTTCCAGCCGTGCTGCTACCCACAGTCAACTGGGAACTTGTGGCCAGGCACAAGGGGTACATGGATGCAGCTAATGGGGTCGTTCTTGGCACTTGTGCCAGTGGTTGTGAGACTTACCCTTTCACCCCTACCGTTAGGCGCTGCATCTGTCGCTAGGGTTTACCGGGTGTTAGCGGCCGTCGTGAGTTCCCTTCGGGAACGGACACGATAATTTACTTTTTTTTTATTGCGCAGAGACTGTTTCAATACATTGGGTGCAACTAACTACAATCAAGTACTCCCAAGCTGGCATCGATTATCATGATGGTTATCGACCCTCCCCGAGAGACACACACATCATAGCACCATAGAATGGTGTTGCATTTTTGTTGTTTTTGCCATGTGATTAAGCAATCACGAGTGAAACGAGGGTTGCCTGCTGCTCCTCGTTGCTAGTCTTGAAGAAGAAATAAAAAATCACGCCCATCTGCTGCTGCTAGCTGGCAATATTGATGCTGTCCCTGCGTTCGCCACCTCCAACTTCTGAGGTGCCTCGTGCTGTCGCACTACCAAACCTTGGTCCGCCCTGCGTTGATCCGGCATCGTACTCACGTACTCTGCTCATGCTGCCGTACTCTTGCGTTGTGGCCTCGTGGGTACGTCTTACGCTATTTGCGCTTGCCAAGTGCTTATGCGGCCCGCCTTACCTGGTGGGCTCTCGCGCCTTATTTCCCATATAAACATGGTGCTGTCTGTCATTGTGGACCGGGCGGCATCCGGGGACTTCGCCTCTTCCATACGTATTATGTTTGCATACTCGGTTAGTATAGTACTGTACCTTGGCTGAGGCTTAGTACGCGCGCTGGAGTCCTTTCGTGCCATGAAAGGAACTGCTTCCTAATTATAGTGATTAGGCGCCGTGAGCCCTGCTTGTAGTAAACATTGCATTAGTAGCGCTGATACCTTTATGCAAAGAATGGGGTAGTCTCGCCCGCGCATATGGGCGTATATACTAGTACTCGTACTGCGGTCTGGGCCTTCCCCTGTACGGCTGCCCGCCATTGCATGCCAGACACCCCCATTGTTGCACGCCTAGCCACGCGCGTGGCTTTTGCCTGCTGCTCGGTTGTCAGCGATAACTACGGTTTGCCGTACGCTGCAAACCTACATTTTGAGGGCGCGGCGGTGATGTAGTATCTCGCCAAGGATTCTATAGTAGATCTAGTGAGTCGAGCCAATGTCTCATGCAATTAGCCAGCCCCAGCTCTAGCCGTACTATTTATGCAATAACAAGAAGACTCAGAAACGAGTGCTTATAAACAAGTCTAACCAGGAAGAGGTTCGTCTGCAACTTGTGGTCTGCAGATTTTCCTCTGGCAGCTGCACGACATGCTCTTACTTCGCTTCACTGAACATTCCTTGGAAGCATGCTGAGTTCAAGTGGATTGTTCCTGCCGAAC